AGCATTTGCATTAAACCAGAGGAATCTCTGGAGGTCAAGGCCCGCTGCAGAGGATGCGCTGGCAGAGGTGGGTGTTCTCTCCACCTCCCCGTTGTGTGGCCCGGAGAGCACGGTGCTTCTCTGGGCTGCGGATCCCTCTGCACAGTGGAACAGAATGGTGCCAATTATTTCCTCTGGGGAGTGTAGGGAGGAGACAGAGAGATTCCCATGGCTCAGAAAGAGGGGTATCTTGCTTTCCGCTACTGTGTGGAGAAATGAGGACTCTTCCTATTTGCATTGGTACCCCTGTGCCTGACACAGAGCTTGCCCCGAGGTACCCTCTTAGGATACACTGGTTGAAGAGTTTAGAAAAGCAAGAGATGCAAACCTGGTGAGGACAGCCTCACGCAGAGCAGAGTGGGGGTGATAGGGGCTTAAGACTTGGGAAAATTTAGTTTAAGGTAAATAGTCATAAATCTAGCAAGTAATGTGTATGTTAAGTTTTTGTTTCAGTAACTACAGATAAGGCCCATCCTGGTGTCTGAGAATAAGCAGTTGACCTCCTGGGGCACTGGCTGGAGATTACCTTGTCTGGAGACATCTGTACCAGGAAGAAGCAAGCAACTACCCTTCTCCCTTGGAGGCAACTGTTGAATTTCAAAGGCTTTCGCTGACACCTTGTTTGCCCTCCCCCAACCCCCTTATAAGAGATCTGGCTGGGAAAGAAAGAGTAAGATGGTTTGTTAGGGTATGAACCCGCCATCTTCTCGGATCGCCGGCCATCTGAATAAAGCGCCTATAAAAGATTCAGTCACTGTCGGTGCTTAATTGGATTTGGTAGTGACAGGCAGCCCGAACACCGGTGTGTTTTCCAGTTACAGGGGCAGGGGGGGCCTCGGCACTGTCCTCTGAGGGCTCCCAAAGCCCAGTCTGCCCCAGCGCAGTCCCCGCCCCCGCCGCATGGTGTCCTCCCTAGATGCCAACAGACTGAAATGCAGGCAGGCCCTGGGTCCTTCACTTTGGCTCCTGTGATGGTCAGTTTTGTGTGTCATCTTGGCTGGGCCACGGCACCCCGATCTGTGGTCCAGCGTTAGTTTGGATGTTTCTGTGAGGGAGTTTTTAGGTGACATTAACATTTAAACTGGTAGACTGTGCGCAAATCAAAGTGTCCTCCATAGTGTGGGTGGACCTCACTCAGGCGAAGGCCTCAGATAACAAGACACGGACCTGCCCGAGCAGGAGGAAAGTCGGCCAGCAGATGGCTTTTGGACTTGAACTGCCATGCCAGCTCTTCCCCGGTGTGCAGCCGCATGCTACAGACTGGATGTGCGTGTCCCCAAAGTTCACATGTCAGAACCTAACCCCCATGTGATGGTGCGAAGAGGTGGGGCCTCTGGGAGGTGATGAGGTCATGAGGTCATGAGAGCCCTCGGGAATGGTGTTTGCACCCTCACCAAAGGGACCCCAGAGGATCCCTTGTCCCTTCAGCCAGGCAAGGACACAGGGAGAAGGTGCCAATCAGGAAGTGATCCTCACCAGACACCAGACCTGCCAGCTGTTGCTTAAAGCCACCCAGTCTGAGACACGTCACAGCGGCCTGACCGGAGGAAGACTCGGTAATCACGTGAGCCAACTTCCCACCTGTCTGCATGCCTGCCCACCCGCACACGTGAACTTGCACCTCCCACCTGCACACGTGTGTCTCTCCAGGGAGCCCTGATGAGTACAGCTCCCCACCTTGCTTCCTTAAAGCCCGGAAAAGTCTGGCAAAGGTGGGGCATGGCAAAAGTGGGGACCTTCCATCTGAGGAACAGTGCGCCCAAGTGTCAGGACTGAGGGGCTCAGCCAGGCCCGGAGCTATGGGGGTGATGCAAGGCAGAGGAGAACGTGGGGACAGGATTTACTTGGGGACAGTTTCAGCAGTAGTTGAAAATGCCTTTGCTTCCTTCTGAGCTGCCCTGGGACAGGTGTCCTGGCCTGGCCAGGGGCCGATGTCGGGTTCGGGGCGGGGCAGGGGGAGGGGGAAGGCGTCTCTGCCCAGCGCCCCAAGCTGTGGGCGGAGGTCTGGGGAGGGGGAGGCGGGGAGGTGGGGCTGTCCCCCCTCTGCCCGCGTGTGTGGCTGAGGGAGGCCTCTGCTTGCCTGTGTGTTACACTTCCCTTTGGCATAGATTATTTTTTTTATAACAATCACACCTTATACTTGTAAATTGCTTTTAGTCTTTCAAAGCACTTTCACCTACAGGATGGAAAAGCTCACCCTGCTTCCCTCTGCTCTCGGGGGTCTTGAGGCTGAGCCTAATTGCACAGGAGAAGCATTTGGGCCTCTGAGGGGCCCCACTTCCCATGTTACACCATGCCAATGGGCTTTTGCAGAAAGAAGGCTGGGGTGCTGGGGGCAGCTCTAAATGCAGGGTTTAATTAAAAAAAAAAAGACGTGCCTCAGAAAAACACCCGTCCGAGAGGCCTTTGTTAGTTCAACACAACTAGGCCACCCCGCCCCCCTGGGGCTCTTCTTTGGCCTCTGCCCGTCATCTGTCCCTGCTGTGGAGGCCTTGTCCCCCAGGGCGGCCCCTGCATCCTCCCCAGCAGCACCTTCGATAGGAGAGGTGGCCCCTTTGCTCTCTTGGTACCTGGAGTGTGAGCACGGTGCAGGGGACCCTCCCCCTCCCGCAAGCATGTGGCCTTTCCCTGGCCTGAGCAGCCTCCAGCTTGGCAGAGCGCACCCCTCAGGCAGGTCCCGGGGGCCGCACAGCTCGGGCTGCCTTCCCTCCGCGTGGATGCAGGACTCGGCTGCGGCTGAGCTGGGGCTGCGGCCTCCACTCCAGATGGTTTATCACTGTGGCTGTGGGGGGCCTGATTTCTTTCCATCAACCACCTGCTTCGCTGGGCCTGCACCCCCAGGCCTTTTAAGGGAGCAATTTTCTAGCACTAATAAGATGGGGAGGCCTGGTCTTGAGCTGCATCTACCAGCCACAGGAGTGACCTCTCTCTGGGCAACCAAGCTGGCCCAGGAGAGCTGACCCCTGACTCTGCTCTCAGAGGGCTCCGCCCTCCAGAGATCCACTCCAGGGTGTCTGTGCTCTTCCCCACCCATCACCAGAGGAGTTCCAGCGCACAGCTGCATGTCGGTGCTTCGGGTGGAGGCTTGAGCAGACACTCGGTGCTCCCTGTCGTGGGAAGTCGCCCCATTCTGGAGCACCAGAAGCACACAGTCTGTCTGCACCACACACAGGAGCCCCTCCTGGGCTCTGCACCACCGTTCCAAAGTCGCCTTCCAGCAGGAAGCCACTCGCAGCAGCTCCTCCTCTTAGCCCCACTGTGTCAGCACCACCCTCTCTCCACGTCGTAGAGAGGGACCCTGAGCAGCCAAGTGTGGCCACGGCCATGGCTCCCTTAAAAAACTAAAGGACGGTGGATGCTCCCTGGGACAGCCACTGGGGAGCAGCCCACTTAGTTGTCTGGGGGTGGTGGGCACAGAGGGGGGCAGGGCTCTTTCTTCCCAGTGACGTTTTGTCCCCCACTGGCTCTGCAACAGGCCCCTTCCCTTCATCAGTCTGTGGGACCCTCATGGCAACAGTCACCGCATGTGGACACAAATGTCCAACCTGACTCCAGGGACCAGTGCCCACCCCCCCCCCCCTGCCACCAACTTGAACATTTCTTCCCTCCCTCCCTCCCTCCCTCCCTGCCTTCCTTCCGGAAATGACACACACAGACACGCCTCCAAAGTGAAGGAGAGCACGTGCTCACCCACTCTCTCTCCCCGGGCACCCGAGCTCCAGGCGTGGGGCCAAACACATCCCGCCAGCAGCCCTGCCAGAGGAGACGGGGTGAAGTGAAGCAGTAAAACCCACGGTGAGTGAGCAGAACCTCCTGGTCCTGCGTCTTCGGGCATCAGAATTTGGGTGGGGCACGGCAATGGGAAAGGGCGAGGATTCGCTGTGGATTTTAGAAACTAGCGCAGATGCCCGTGGCTTAGCTGAAGGCAGCTTTGGGGCCAGATGGATGGATTAGGGGCCTCTGGAGGTCCTCCCTCCCCTGTGTTGCCACAGTTGCCCACCAGTCGCAAGCTCACACACCCACCCATAAATGCCCTTCCTTCCATGGCCGGGATCTGCAAACAGACACACGCGGTTTCCTTACGAGTATTATTCTCCCAACCGGTACTGGCCGCAGCCAGCGCTGACTGCGTGTGTGCCAGGGGCCAGGCACGGCATTCCAACGCTGTGCATGCATCTCGTTTCATTCTCGCAGTGAGGCGGGTACTATTATCTCCATGTTATAGGCAAAGAGACTACGTCACAGAAAGATTAAATAACTTGACCTCAGTCTCACAGCTAGACTTGGGGGCCCCAGGACTCAAATTCAGGTGTGTTTGACACTGACCCATTTGCCAAACTGCCTCTCTTCAGCCCTGGTCTCTGTGGGGGGGGGCTCCCTGCTGGGGTTTCCCCAGGAAGATTCCTTATTAAACACTCAGGCAAGTCATAACTGGGTCTACGTACAGCTGGCCCTAAGTGGCCTTGCCCCTGTTTATGTAGGCTATGCGATCTATTCATGGAACACTCAAATGCAATGCCATCCCGCTCCCCACTAGGCTGCCAGAGCTCATTTTTCTCTCCTCTCTCCTCCATGCTCCATCGCTGACCCAGATCCCTCGTGCCTCAGGTAGTCAGCAAAACTCACAGAGACAGAACAGAGGGTGAGGGCAGAGCCTGGGGGCGCAGCAAAGGCGGTGGCATGACCTCTGACCACAAAGGCTGAGACTAGAAGCCCCTCGGTGCAGAGAGGACGCCCCCACGCCCACCCCTCAGCTCATCCAAAGCCCCCAGAAGCACTCGATGGCCAGCAGACCGTAGCCCCTCTCTGCCTATTGCTCACTAAGTCGCCATGAAGGTGCACCCCTCTTCCCTGGGCTCCTGGGGCCGAGTGAGCCTTCTCCGTGCACCCTGGTTCCCCCATTGAGTGCCAGGTGCTCCTGACCAATCACAAGACAGCTCCCGGGTGGACCGTCGACTCACCCAGGTCCATGTCTGCAGCCTTGGGCCGGTGGGAGCAGGGCACATTCTTGAAGATGGCGTCCAGGATCTTCTCCTTGACCTGAGTAATGGTGTCGCAGTTGAGGATCTTCACTGGGACCTCGGGGCTGTTGGCGTTGTCTGGGTTGACACAGCTTAGGACCTGGGGCAGGGGGAGAGACGGAGGTGGGGGAAGGGCAGCAGGAAGAGCTTGGAGATTCCCAGCAGCATTGCGGGTTCCTGTGCTGACCAGCTCCGCCTCTGCACACGGCTGGACTGGACAGGGGTGGGAGAGCCCAGCCCAGCTGTGTCCCCACCAAGCCCTCCGCCCTTCTTGTCCTACAAGCAGCGGGAAGGTGCCGTGACTTCAGTGTCATTGCAGGAGTAGGAGCTGCACACTTGATGAACGTCATTAAAATCCTGATTTTTTTCCCCAAGGAGAACAATGTCCAGGCAGGAGGAGGCGTGAGGGGAATCTGCATGAGACTGGACAGTAACGCACGCATGCATGTGCTCTCTACTCCCACACGTGCGCGCACATGAGGGCGCATGCCCAGACCCTCGCCCACCTCTCAGACGCCTGGCCGCGTCTGTGTGTGTCAGCAGTCTGCCTGTCTAGTCACTCGCTGCACACACACTCACACTCATGCGACTCTGGCGCCTGTCTCACAGGACTTTGCAAGATTCGGGTTTGTGAGGGTTTCGGGATGATCGAAGTTGGCAGAGGCTCGGAGAAGCGTAAAGTGTTCTTAAAACAAACACTTTAGGGTCCGGCCGCCTGCGATCCCTTCCTGGATCTGGACCTGAAGCCTTGTGCTGGGGGAAGAGGCCACCCTGGGCTGGGGACCTCCATTTCTCTTTTTGGGACTAGTTGGAAGAGTTAAGACTTTGCTTAAAGCACCAAACTCTATCCTTTCCTTTAAAAATGTCTGGGCTGTTTCCAAAGACTTTTCTTCTTGGCTGTTTTCTGAGTGGGCCCTCCCTCCGTGGATGAGACTGGGTGGGACCCTGGGTGGGTGCGGTGGGGCTCAGGTGCCGTCTAGTGGCCACGCCACGCCCACCTCCCTCCGGCCCTGCAGCCCAAGCCCGCCCTCTCTGGGCTCTCACTGCACGCCCCCACCCCAACCGTCCCCCACTGCCCGTCTGGTGTGCGGACGGACAGCAGCCTCCCCCACCCCCACGGCTCCTGCTGCATGTGGTGGCAATCAGAACCCCGGCCCCCGGACGCCTGCCTTTCATTAGCGGCCAGACTGCTATGAGCTCAAGTGGGAACATGCTTCTTCCATTAAGATGAAAAAAACCTCCTACAACTATAAAACCCAAACTCCCTCATTTTCGAAATGTCCTAATCTGAAAACAATGGTGGGAGGAACTCTGAACCAGGGGGCCCCTCGGAGTGCCCTCTCCCAGCCGCTCTGCCCTTTAAAAGCCTCCTCCTCCCCGGCCCTCCCAGCCTCTCTGGGAGCCTGGCCTGCCCGCTGTCCTGTGCTCTGGGCCAGCGGTGGGGCGGCCTGGCCTCCCCTAGGCTGCAGTGCAGCTTGTTCTGGGCTCCCTCCCCGAGAGACCAGGAGGACAGGCTGTCGCCTGAGCATGCTCTCCTGACACTTCTCCTTGTGCAGGGTCCACGGTGGCCACGTGAGAGCTCCGTGGGAAGCTCACGGCACCCAGAGAAGCAGCAGTGGCCCCACTGAGGGACAGGGTTCCCCAACCACTGGCCACGCCACAGGTCCCGCCAGAAATGCCCTCCCCACCTCCACTCCCATGCCCCGTGGCTAGTTTCTGAGCGAACTTTTTTCTGCTACGTCAGTGTTCCTCACACTTGAATGAGACCAGGATCACCGAAGGGTGTGCTAAAATGCAGATTCTGACTCAGAGGCCTGACAGGGTGCTTGGCATTCTGCATTGTAGCAGGCTCTCGGGTGATCATCCAGCATTGAGCAGACCCCCAGGGGGTGCCGATGGGCACTCCCTGCCGCAGGGCCCTGGTCCAAGTTCCAGAATCAATGCAATTACCCACTCAACACTTAAGTGGGGCAGCTGCTATGGAGTGACCCATCCCGGAGCCTGTCAGCACCTGTCTCATTCTCCGTGTTTTTCCCTCCTGCCAAGAACAAGGTTACCCTCGGTTCACCCAGCGCACCCTGGGCTCCACCCACCACGGCCAAATTCTGCGACTTTCTATCCCCCCCACCCCTTCCTCCTGCAGTCTCCTGTCAGCCCAGACTGCTCCTTTCACAAGCCTAAGGGTGGCTGTTAAATCTCCCTGCAGCCAAATTTCTTCTCTGGGCAAAACGATTGCAATTTCTCTCCCCCCCCCCCACCGCCCCACCTTCCCCAGGGGTTTCCAACTTCCTGATGCCCTTGCCCGACCCCTCCCCCCTCCTCACATGCTCTGTAAGTGAGCCTGAGCTAGCCCTGCTAACAATACTCCGGCCTCCGGAATAAAGGGTCCTGCAATTTGGGTGCAGAGCATTATTACAGCTCATTGTGTTGGATTCAATGCTGGGGAGCCTCCAATGAGAGGGGAAAGAAAGGGAGCGAAGGGAGAGAGATCAGGCAGGAGATGTTCCAACGGCAGTTCTAGCTCATTAAGAAGTCTATTCAGGTCTCTATTTTTGGAAGGGTTTCTTCCCTTTCCCATTTTAGTCAGAGCCTCTGACTCCCCTCCATAGCACACCATGCCCGCAAGGAAGCAGGGACCCCGGCCCCACGCTGCCCCTTCAAGGCTCAGCGACCGAGCCAGCCCTGGCAGGTCCATCAGGACGAGGCTGGGCTTCCCGGGCCTCTGAAGATGGGGTAGCACAGGTGCGTTAGGGTGGCCTCACTCCCAGACGGCAGGAACGCCTCTGTTCAGAGTGGCAGGGATGGTCCCCGAGCTGGCCTCTGTGCCTGGGGTCCTCCCTGGCTCCCCAGCCCTGTCTGGTTCGGCCACGCCTGGCCTGCCTCCTGCTTCATCTCCCCATCGTGGGTTTAAGTCCCATCTGGTGTCTGCCTTCCCCTCTCGGGCTCCATAGCGCATCAGCCCCGGCACCCAACTTCTTTCTTATTTTCTCTTTCCCTCTTTCCACTTCCTCTCCCCTTCCCTGCGGAGGGCCTGCTGGGAGAACACTACTCTCTCCAACGCCGCCTGAGCACAGGCTCCCAGGCCTGGAGAGACGGGCAGCCCGTGGACGGGCCTGGTGGGACCGAGGCCGCGGGGCCCTGGGAGCCAGCCGCCGAGAGCGCTCCCCCCGCCCGGCTCAGCCCCTGGCACACCTACCCCCGCCTCCTCCTCGGCACAACTCAGGCAGCTCCGTGGTATTGTCATCTCTGTTTTAGTAGGTTCTAGTGTTACTCCCCTTTTCTTTTCCAGAAAAACCCCAACTCAGAGAGATGAAGGCTAAGATGCACCCAAACCGCCCAGCTGGTCGGAAGCAGAGTCCGGGCTCCCCCCGGTCTGCCTGTTTCCAGCCCCATGCTCCCACACACTGAGCTGTGCCGTCTCCTAGGGTGGCGGTTTCTGTCAGGAGACGGGGGTCTAACCTTGATGGAGGGGATGCCCCCCATTCCCTGGACCAACGCCTTCATCACTAGGTATTCTGGCCTCACATGGTACAGCTTGGGTCACACCCTATTTCAGTTTAACCCAGTAGGCAGAGGGCGGCTTCCAAAGCACAAGGAACTCTTTCCTGCCCCAACCTGCTGTTTGCATGAAAGTGCCCCCTCTCCTCGCTGGGAGAACTGACGAGACAGGAGGTGTTCTTTCAGGGGCTCAGCCAGTCAGCCAGCGGCCGGCAGGGGCTTAGGGCCCCAGAGTTCAGTGCACCGGCCCGGAACCCCACTAGTCTCTTGGTGGAGGGTTGCTCAGGTGTGTCTGAGCTACTGGTCTCCAAACCCAGAAGCCCCGGTGTGGTGGTGGCGGTACAGAGGACATTGGGGTGAGACGCACAGGTGGATCAGCTGGCTGGACCCTCTCGGTGGGCAAACCTGGAGAGGCAGCTGTTTAGCATTTCCACTGTGACTTCTGCCCGGCGGGTACTGGGCAGGGGCTGGACAGGGCCATAGGCCGTTGCCCAGGGCCCCGGGGGAAGGAAGGCCGTCGGGCTGGCTTACCAGGGTTTTGTAGTCGATCTGCTGGCGGATGAGCTTGTCCTCGCTCAGCGAGTAGCGGGCCTCGCCCGTGATGGCGTCGATGGGCCCCTTCTCCATCTGCTGCTTGATGGCGCAGAACAGCGAGAAGAGGGGCTCCCCGGCGCACTCCTGGGCACGAGAGAACCACGCTGGGCAGACGCTGGGCCACCGGGCGTGAGGGCCCAGCCTCCCACGGCCCTGCTTCCCCAAAGGGCTGCTGTCCGCTTCTCCGCTTTCCACCCTCTCCGCCTGCTCCCACCTGCTTTACGCCTGGGTGTTGCGCTTCCTCCTTCAGAGGTAGGTCTCCCCGGGACCTTTCGGCCACAGCATCCTGTCCCATCTGCCCTGCCCTACACTCTTCTCCTCTTCCCTGCCTCCTGTCCCCTCTCCGTGCCTTCTCCCTGCCCCACGCCACCCCGCTTTCTCTGCAGCCCCATCTTGGGCCCGAGGTCAGTCCCCAGTGGGGTGAATGCTTAGCAAAAAAAGTCAATAGTTGGATGTCAGGCACTTCCAAATCCCAGGCACATCATCGACTACTCTGCTGCCACAGGCGCCTTCTGTACCTGCCCGGGGCCCTGCTCAGCCTCAGTAAGTCTGGGACTGGCAGGGGTGGGAGGGGGAGGGAGAGGGAACACAGGCAAGCGAGGGGTGGATTGTTCTTAGCTAAGGGCTGCTGCAGGGCCCTCTCAAAGGCTCATGTCCTCTCACATGGGAGAAAGCAGCCCGCGGGGCTCTGTCTTCTGACATGGCCGGTAACCCACTTCTTCAGTGACTGGGGGACCCGCATTTCTGGGTGGGGTACCAGCAGCCAGGCCCTGGGGAGTGAGGGCTCGAGGGCCGGGAGGGAAATGGGGCAGCCCGGGGAGGATGCAGGTGGCTGCGGGGCTGGCGGGAAACAGAGGCCAGGGGGCCCCCGCAGCCAGTCGTACCTTGAGGAACTTGTAGAGCAGGAAGGTGAACCAGTTGGTCAACATCTTCTCGGCCACTGACTCAGTCCTGTCACCCGTCACCAAGGGCACCAGCAGAGGACGACAAAGACAGAAGCAGCTGGTCAGACCCCAAGGACTGGGGAAGCAGGGGAAGAGGTCTGTGTGGGCCTTGCTCCCTGAGGTTTTCGGGTCAAATCTTAAGAATCCTAAAGAATACTTGAGTCTACGGACATGTGGACACCCCACAGCGATGGGACAAGCTGTGCCTCCCAGGCTGGGACGTGATGTTCTGGGCGTCAGGCTCCCCGTGGGTCCGGTGGGAGTGGCTTAGAGCTGCGCCGTGCACTTTCTGTGATTAGGGGAACACTCTCCCCGCGCCCTCTGGTACGGCAGCCACCAGCCTTACGTGCCTACCGGGCACCCGGAGAGCAGCTAGTGTATCTGAGGAGCTGAATTTTTCATTTTCTTTCTTTGATTAATGTAGATTAAAAATCACATGTGCCTCATAGTGATCACATTGGGCCATACAGCCTTAGAGAACTTTAGTTACTTGAGGCGAGAAAACAAAAAAACCTGGGAGATACTGATTTGGCAGACGATAGAAAGGAAGGCGGCAGGGGCAGGGGGTCACGGCAAAAAGGCCGAACGAGACTGACTTTGTCGCCAAAGCGGAAGACTCAGAGCTGACAGCAACACGGAACCGCACGGCTACCCAGCACATTGTCCTGTTTCAAAGGTCTCCATGTGCTTTGGAGCTTCCCCTGGGGACCCTTCCAGTGTTTCATTTGCAATAACAGAAAGTTCTTTGTTGAGTCTAACTTGCATCTTTCGTGCTGTTACCCAAGTCCATTTATTCTTTTACTTTGGACATGAAGATATGGTAGCAGTGTTACTGGCCGAAGGCCACTGTCGGTTGCACCCACTTGGAGAAAACAAACTATGGTCAACCTTGTACTAAGGGTGTAGTCAGCTCCAGGGAGAAACCGGCCCATCTAGGCACGTTTACACAGAGTTGAAAGTTGCAGTTGCCCAAAGATACCATTAACTAAAATCCCAAGGCAGCAGGGCAGCTGCCAGCACAGAGCGAAGCTGAGAGGAGAAAAGAAGAAAGATTATTGAGAGGAGCGGGGCGGCCAAGGGCAGGAAGAAGGAAAGGAGACGAAGGTGGGCAGGAAGGAGAGTGGGCATCTGAGAGAGCGAATAGAAAATGAGAGCAGCCCTGGCTGGTGTAGCTCAGTGGATTGAGCACAGGCTGCGAACCAAAGTGTCGCAGGTTCGATTCCCAGTCAGGGTACATGCCTGGGTTGCAGGCCATGACCCTCAGCAACTGCACATTGATGTTTCTCTCTTTCTCCCTCCCTTCCCTCTCTAAGAATAAATAAATACAATCTTAAAAAAAAAGAAAAGAAAATGAGAGCAGGAAACACCAGAGTCGGAGAGAGACCACGCCTGGAAAGGTGCGGCGGGAGCTGTGGCAGGCCTTGGCAGCCCCAGGATTACGCCGGTGGGTGGCTGCATGCTGGAAGTAAAACACAAATCAACATGAACCTGGCTGTTTCCGAAGCTGTGCACCTGCGCCTGTGTGTCGATAGCTTTGCAGCTGTGCAGGTGAATGCCCACTGCACCCGAGAAAGCCTGGTCAACCCTCTCAAGGCCAAAGCTATGCCCTGGACCGAGCAGGAGGCCCTGCCTCAGACCCAGAGACCAAGGTCAGGAGGTGGGTGGTAAATGGTGGTCCAGGCAGAGGGCTGGACATGGGAGTTTTCTGTCTTCGTCTACAGGAAGGCTAAAGATGCTGGACTGACAGCCTAGGGGAGAAATGCCCTTTAAGTACATGGGAAGTGTGAATGGCAGCGTGGATAGAGTTGGAGAGTCTCTATTTCCTATAAGGCCAAAGCCACAGGATCTGGTTATCACTTCACACGTGACCACTCAGGTTTCCAGTGTCCAGGATGAGGCAGCAATCGTGCCGAGTGGGCGACCCCGGACTGTGCAGAGCCTTGAACAGGTGCCAGGAAATTCTTGCTGCTGCCCAGTTGCCACTGAAGGATTTTAGTTCAAACACAGGCTGGACTGTATTTCTCAAACTCTGGTACGCATTCGGATCACCCAGGTTTCTTGCTGGAATGCAGATTCTGATCCCCTGTGCGTGGGCAGGGACCTGAGAGGCTGCATTTCCAATCAGCTCTTGAGTGGCTTTAAATTTTATTCATTTTTAATTACTTTAGATGTAAGTAGTCACATGTGGCTCAGAGCGATCCAGAGCAGACAGATAGCAGTGTGAGTGGCGGTGGGCTAATGCTTCCCATCCTGAGATGGTGAGGCGGGTGTCCAGAGAGGTCTTGGGGTGTCTCTCCTAAATCAAGTTCTGATTTAGAGGAAGCCAGGGGATGCCAAAAAGGCCTCTGAAGATCCCACAGGAGAAGAATTCCAGTAAAAAGGGTCAAAGTCAGGGGAGGAGAAGGGCGGAGAGAGGAGGAGACAGAGCAGACACAGGGGCAGATGAGAAACAACAGGCTGCGCAGATGGGCAGAGGCCAGTTATTGGTGCCGGCATGATGCACGGGCTCTTCCAAGAAGCTATGGGTGCACCTGGCCTCTGGGCCGGTGAGTTCTGAACCTCGGGGGGTGGGGGGGTTTGGCTGCTCCTTCTGGGAGCTCCACCCTGGTCTCCCTGACAGGCAGGAGGGCCAGGCTGCGTGGCCAGGGTAGTGGGTCTTCGACCTGTGTCGCCCCCTGCCACCCCTGGACCCGCCTCTCACCTCCTGAGCAGCAGCTTGGGGTGGTTCTTGCTCTCCAGGTTCTTGTCGATGAGGTCGGCCAGCAGCTGCTTCAGCACGTCAGTGGCGTACTCCAGCTTGCTCTGCAGCACCGTCATGATGAGCGAGGCCACGTTGCCGCGGTCGCGCATGGAGAAGCTGCGCTGGGACTCAAGCGTGCGGATGAAGGACAGCAGGAACACCTTGTTGTTGATGAGCTGGGCGAAGAGCTTCAGGCCTTTCTCCACGCGCTCCTGCCGGTAGCCCGGTACCTGCGGAGGAGACCCAGGGGTCTGACTGCCACCTGAGAGGGCGAGGCTGGTGGGGCCCAGTGGTGTTCCCCCTGGGGTGGGCTGTGCACGCTCTTGGCTATCCCACACCATCACTCAACACAGCAGCCAGTGCCCACCTGGCTAAGGCCATCAAGTCCTTGTCTAGTGCCAGGTGTTGTGCCAGGCATCTCCTGGGGCTCCTGGGAGCACTGAGGACCAGGCCAGCAGTGAACAGCCTGACACACAGTCGACTGGCTGAATGGTGGTGATTTTATCCTGCTTTACTCTAGAGGTTTGAGACTGGGGAAGACGAGCCAGGCAGCAAGAGCCCTGCTTGCCCAAAGCCCACGAGGTGGAAGACGCAGAGCCCAAACATTCATGCCACTCATTCAGGGAGGCCTCTAGGTTCTGGGCTCAGGGCCAGGTGCCAGCTAGAGGCAGAGACCAGTCAGACCCAGGCGCTGCCCTTATACGGTCAGCCAGAAGCCCACTTCGGGGCAGGGGCCCTGTGGGTCTGACCCTGAGCTCTGAGAGAAGCGCTGCCCTTGAACCACAGATGCCTGGCATCGGCAGCTCCCGCAGGTCAGGAAGCCGGGCGCTCCCACGTGTTTCCAAGTCGGGTCCCTTTCCACTCCCCTTGCTGCCGTGCTGGTACTTAGAAGACCGGGAGAGGCGGGAACTCACCAGAGCCAGGGGGTGCTGGCCAGTCCCCCTGCAGCTCATCCCAGCCAACCCCACATTCCCCAAGGCCTCGGCTGCCCTCCTGCTCGGTCCCCCCCGCCCCAGCTCCCCGCTTCCCCACTCCACAGGTGCTGAACAGGGAGGGATGAGGGAGACTTGGCAGCCTCGCCTTGCCATCAGCCGGGCCTGTGTGCCTAGCTGCGTGTCCCCCATTGGTCTCCGTCTCGGTACTGTGACCACCCCCTTGCACATGTTTTACTTCCTTTGTCCATCAAACCCCTCAGAACAGCATCTCCACAACTTGTCCTAATAATAACAGGCAATGTCACTTCTTGGGCGCCACCACGTGCGATGTGCCGTGTTGGCACGTGGTTTACACTGTTCCAACTCAGCCTTCTGGGGACCTCGCAGGGTGGGGTGTGCCCTCTTAACAGCTTCGCAGAAAAGCTACTGCCGTGGTCCCCAGGCCAGCCAGCGGGTGAAGGGTAGTGACAGATTCCCAACTACAGACCCCTCCCTGCCTCCCCATCCCCGGCTATGTCTAAACCTACTCTGGGTTCGGGGGGTGACTGGAAGCCAGCACCGAGTCCTCCCTGTGGCCTCTCAGGCCCCTCAGCACGCAGGCTGGCCATTGAGGACAGGGGACCCACATGCAGGATCAGCACCGTGGCGCTTGGAGAGGAGGACGAGGAGGACACAGGGCTGACTGGAGGGCACGTCTGGTGTGACGACGTGCTCTGGACTTCCTGCTGCGGCTGCACTCGCCTCCGGGCAGCCAGGCCCGGGCCCTGGGACCCGTGGAGGAACAGCATCCCCAGCAGCCTGGGGTTTGGACTCGGAGAGACCGACTCCTACGTGCACGAAAGCTCCATCACCTCTGGGCTCTATTCCCTCATCTATAAAATGAGAATATGAGTGCCTGTGTCATAATGTTTTATGGGCATTAAATAAGATAATGTATGTAAAGTGCTTGGCGCACGCGGGGCGCACTTAAACGGCGGTTTTATTACCTGCCGCTCCTACTTCTCAGGCTGCTCTTCACGGACCCTCCCCCAGGGTCTCCCAGATATGCGGGGCATTGGCACAGGGTCTCAGGCTGCAGAAGGCAGGGATTTCTCCCCATTTTAGGAAAGGAGAGATGGCAGTGAAGTATCTCGGTAACGAGTATCCAGAACAATTCCCCTTTGTAACTTGCCACCCTGCCCCCTACACAAATGCCACTCCGAAACAAGACTTTCTTTATTCACCAGATGGTTCGATCATTTCGTTGAAGTCTGTGAGTATAAAACTGGATAGTAAATTTTAATTGTAACCCAATAGGGTAGAGTTTAGGAGGCAATGATAGGCTGCAAATGGAGTGTGTGGTTACTGTTCGCTTTCTGTTTCTAAAGGATGGGTGTGTGACCAGTGCCTGGGCAGCCACCTCCCTGAATGCCCGGACCCCGCCACGGTGGTCCCGGGGGGCCTGGTGGCCCACCATCCAGGGCAGCCAGAAGCCAGAAGCCACCTCCTTCTTCATACACATCTGCCTCTCATGCCCAATCAGCGGGCAAGTCTCCCCGCGGCTGGAGAGGCTGGAAACCACTGCTCTGGATGAGTTGTGGCTTCCCTGGGAATGTTTCTACACCCGGGAAACCAAGAGGGAGAAACTCGTCTGGTGGCAAAGAGGAGCTGGAAGGAAACGAGAACACGATGACCCCCACACACAAGCTCTCTGGGTCTCTTTGGGGAGGCTGGGTCTCGCATACCTCAGGCTAATGCAAAACGGTAAAAGTTGATTTCTGTCTGCAAGCAATTAATTTGTGAGTTTCATGGAAATGAAAAAGTCATATGTTCTGTGTAGATTCCCAAAGACTGAGAGCAGGCTCTCAGGAAGATGTTTGTGCGCTCACATTCACAGCGGCATTGCTACCACAGCTGGAAGGGGGAAGCACCCCGAGCGCCCATCGCCAGAGGCGTGGGTAACCAACGTGTGCCGTAGTAGAGGGGCTCTGATTCAGCCTTGAAAAGGAAAGTTCTGTCCCGGGCTGCAACACCGGTGAACCTTGAGAACACTTTGCTAAGTAAACCAGTCTCTGGAGGATAAATACTGTGTGATTCCACTTGAATGAGGCACCCAGAGCAGACGAATGCATAGGGACAGAAGGTACATGGGGGCTGTCAGGAGCCGGGGGAGAGGCAAGGGGGAGTGACTCCTCCACGGGCAGAGTTTCAGCTGGGGGAGACGCAAAGGTTCTGGGGCCGATGGCACTGATGGCTGCACAACAATGTGCATGACTTAGTGCCACCGATCTGTATACTTAAACATGGCTGAGCCCTAGCTGGTGTGGCTCTCTTGGTTAGAGAGTTGCCCGGTGGACTGAGGGGTCACAGGTTCGATCCCCAGTCAGGGCACATGCAAGAAGGCAAACATTGATTCTCTCTCTCTCTCTGCACCCCCTTCCTCTCTCTCTGAAAGCAATGAAAAAAAAAAATGCCCTCAGGTGAGGATAGAAAAAAATGGCTGAAACGTTATGCTTATTTTACCAAAATTAAAAAATGAAGCAGCGTGACTTGCTAGATTCAGAGCATACACCCAACAGTTAGCTATCTCGGGGGCTCCACCTCAGGGCCATTGGTGGAGCTGGCCGTTAACTGCTTTGCGAGCAAAGGCTGGGACCAGAAAGCCTTCCTCCACAATAAAGGCAAGGAAAACAGAGGATGTTCAGGCTGAAGGGGAAATTTTAAGGGGCCAGATGAGAAATAAGGCCACGGTAGCACGTAGGTGATTTATCACGGGGCCCGTCGGAGCAGCAGTTCCTGCTAAGTGCACAGCCCTGTGCAGAAGTCAAGCAGACACTCCCTCTGGCCAGTGCCTGCACAGCCGCGTGCCTCCTGAGTGATGGGTCTGCTTTATTTTATGGACCATATAAATCTTGGAACTAGTCTTATTTTCTGTTGCTACTTTGGCCACAATCTTCCATCCATCCTAATAAGTATCCAGAGCCGTAAGACATGACACTGATGTAGCACCTTGGAAGTCAAGTGCACAGGCTTGTTGTTGGGAGGGCGGGCTCTGGAGTCTGACCACCGGGGCTCGAATCCCAGCTTGCTCCCGCCCGGCCGTGGGGCCCAGAGTTCTCTGCGCCCTCCGCGGTGCCGCCGGCTTCGAAGGGCTCTCGGGCAGCTCCGTGAAGGCGTGTGTCCAAGCACTCCAATCTGGGCCGCTTGGTAGTCCACAAATAAATAGTGAGTATCCCGTGTGGTTGTTATTTTGCCCTGGTTTCCTCATTTATATGTTTCTCTTTTCTCGGGTACTTACCTTTATAATTCATTCCGAATCCCTTGAGGAACAAAGGGCAGTGTGACTATATGTGCAAGCCAGCCCCTACGCTAGACAGGAAGAGGGATAAAATGCTTGGAAGATGAGGTCCCTGCTGGTGCAAGAGAGAGTTAGGTGCTCATCACTCACTCTCCACTTCCCTCCCCGGCGTGCCACTGATCTTTTCCATGTGGACTTACTGAGCACCAACTCAGTGGTGAAATCATCAGATCGCAGTTGCTTAAATAAGGGTCCATGAACTCCTGACATTTGTTTGCCAGATTTCTTGCTTCTGTGAATATGCACAGTTTTTCTGAGGACAGGGTCTTGCATTCAATTCTCAAGGAATCCATGACCCCCTGAGTCCCAAAGCCTTGCTCCCACCTCTGCTCTGAGGCTCCCGGGCTTGGCCCTGCCTCCTCCAGAGGGACTGGCTGCTGCCGACAAGTGGGGGTCCTTGGGCACCGTGCATCCCCTCCTTGGCCTCAGCTTTCTCGCCTCTGGATGAGGCCACTCGACTCGAAGGTCACCCGCATCTCCCTCCGTGCTAACACCGTGGTGGAGAAGCGCTAGGTCACGGGTACGGCTCTCACCTCGAGGTCCCGGAGGACGGGATGGTCTTCAATTCCCGGGAAGAGCACCCGCATGGTGTAGGTTCTGTAGTCCAGGAAGGGAATCCCGGCCCCGTCCAGGTCACTGGTCAGCTCGTGGATGTCCGTCTGCAGCTCGGCAAAGGCTGGCACAAGAGAAGCTCGTGAGAACCCCGGGTGGGGCAGGTCCAAGAGTTACCGCCGACTCGCAACACTCAGAACCTCACCCAGGCCCCTGGGGGGCATGAGCAACGGGCCTCAGGTGTGCAGAAATAAGAACCGGGAAGTTTTAAGTTAAGTAGCTGAGGCAAACAACACAGGCATGGGAGAAAGGTGCAGCCCCAGGGAGCTGGTCATGGGCAGAATTTCTTCCAAAGCTTGGATGGGGGCAGGTGGCCCACAGATCTATGTGGCGGCTGGGGCCAGGAGCACCCCCACACGAGGATGAAGGGCTTTGTCTGCAAAACGTGCTCGGGGTGGGGGGACTGGAGAGGAACGGCAGGTGGGGGTGGAGGAAAGGGGGAAGTTCCAGTGATGAAGGGCCTACTCCCAATTCTGTGTTTTATAGTGGGTTTCCTTTCAAGACTTAAGAACAATTTCTTTTGAAGTCCCAGTTCTGGGCCGTACAGGTCACTGAAGCTATCAAATCACCAAACGGGGCCAGAATGGGGCTCTGCCACACCAATACATCCCTTCTGTATAAATACGCAGGGTGGGTCCTGTCCTTCCTTCCGCAAGTTGTGTGCAGGCACCGCAGTCTGTGGAGGCAGCTCAGTCTCCAGAGAGTCACGGAGCTGCACGCATCCTCTAGCCCAGGGGAAGCCAGTGCACAGGTCAAAGCCATCATGCAGCACCAAAGCAGTGACCACAGCCTGTCCTAGGCACAGCCGTATCCCGGGCCACCCTCTGCCACTGCAGGAAGTCAGAGGTGATGTGCCTGGCCCTTCTCTGCCCTGCCTGTCTCCTCGGCACCTGCACACATTCACACATACATGCAGGCACAAACACACACATGTAAGCATGCATGTACACACATGTGCACAAACCCAGAATGGATCAGCACATGCTGACAAAGAACCAGTGGACATGAACTAACCAATGTTTCTTTCTATTTATACAAACACAAGAACAGAGAAAAAATACTTTAGTTGGGGAATTTAGTAGAGATTCACAAGCCCTGCGTGGATCTAGAAAAGCCCTTGGAACGCAAGCCCCGTGTCCGGGAAGTTCCGGTGATCCCAGGAACACCACACGGCTGCCCCCCAACCCTGGGCCCCACCGCCTCCTGCGGCGCTGACTTCAGGCTGTGGAACTGGGGGTTTGGGGGCTTGCAGATGCCAATGCTTCTTGTATAACAGAACAACGGGGAGGCCCGCTGGCCACAGACAGGTGGCTGCGACCTCTCTGTGCTGCTCTGCTCCTGCACCCTGAACCTCCACTCTGGCCACACTGATGCAGGGGTCCTCGTCAAGGTAAGTGACTCTGCAGCAGAGCAACCCTGACGCTTCTAAGCCAAACTTACACTGATGTGTGTGTGTGTGTGTGTGTGTGTGTGTGTGAAAGAGGAGTCAGCCTTTTTGGCATGTGCTGTCACCAAAAGCCCCGAGGAACACCCATGTACATTCTGAGTGAGGAACACGCCTGTGTGTTTGAGGGAGCGCATGGGAATGCATGTGTGAGCATGGGTGTGAGTGTGTGCATCAGTGATCATCTGAGTGTGCAGGTCAGTGAGTGTCAGGGCTGTGAGGGCCCCAGCGAGGCCTCCTCTGGGCTCACCTGTAGGTGACGTGCTGGCTCACGGTCAAGTCTTCAGGAAGTCACCTTCCTGGGCCCTGCTGACATTCAAGAGCCAGCCCCGGGCACCCTGGAAATACTCTCACGTCAGACCCTACATGGCGCTCCACAAGTCTCCCCTCCCGGCCGAGCCCGTGTGGGCAGCTCTGCCCCAGGCTGCAGCCCCGGCTCTCTGTGCCACCTCTGATGCTCAGCTGGCCTCCCTGTCTGACCGCCAATGCCTCCGCCTCTGGAACATTCCGAGAGGAACCTGGCTGCACGCTCCCCCTTGCCGCCCCTCCCCGCTGGGGTGCCCAGCTGGCGGGGAGGAGAGGGAGAGAGCTGGCTTTTTATCAGTCTGCAGCTTCCCTTCAAGTCACCGAGCGCGCCGCCAACATTCAAAGCCTCACGCCTGCCGCACATAAAAGAGATTCTAATCACTACTCCTAATTAGAGGAAAGAGTACATTGCGGAGAAAAAAATTAAGCAGCGTAAATATAATAAAAGGCAGTAATTAACAATCCCACAAGGCGGATGCCGCGCTGACAGCTGAAGGAGGCAGAGAGGGGACGGAGTGGACCCACCTCCCGCCCGGGAGAGCCCCAGGTATGGGGCGGATTTGCTCTGCGTATAAATCTCCAGCGAGGAACCGGCTCATCCCTCCAGGGTGACTCACGAAATGATATCCTGGGGGTGACAAGGGCCTGACTCCTTAATTTCCTTCTTGGATTCGGTGCAGCTGACTTCACTTCATGGTACATTGGTAATTTTTAAAGTACAAGCTGGGAAACACTGTTCCTTCGAAGTAACAATCAGCCCTACAGCCGTCCCTTCCTTCTGAAGGAGGAGAGCTGGAGTTGCCTGCGCACGTCGGGGCAGTCACCGCAGGGTCCCCCCGAGATGGGGGCGTCAAAGCCACTGGGCCAGGGTTCTGGGCTGGAGACTGCCCTGGTAGGATTTTGAAAGATGCCAGTTTGACTCGGTAGGGGGCAGCTCCAGGAGCGGGGACGGAAGGCTTTCGGCTGCTGTGGCCTTGCCGGGTGGGGCTGGCTAGGGTGTGGGATGGTCAGGGCACAGGCTCATGGGCCAGCTGAAGTTCTGCAGGCAGACACCCAGCCCACTGCTTGTGTGTGAGACACACGTGTGCACACACACACACACACACACACATGCATACACACGTGCACCCGGCCTCCCGGCCACTCGGTACCTTCCTTGCACTCCAGGGCCACGCGGGACTCCAGGTTGTCCATCTGCATCTGCAGCCGCTTCAGCGTGAGGTCGCTTTCGCGGGACTTGCGCTTGTAGGCGATGAGCACGGCCACGATGAAGACGGTCAGCAGGCCGCCCGCCACGGCGATGCTGACGATGGCAGGCAGGCTGAGCGGGCTGTCTGGCGCGATGTACACCATCCCCGGTGAGTACTCCACACCACCCACGCGGGCCTGCGGGCAGAGAGGGCGGGATGGAGCCGGGTGTGGGGACAGAGCGTCCGAGGGGACAGCCCCAAGTCACCAACAAACCGGTGAGCATGGGAGGATGAAGGAAATAGCCCCGGGGAGCAGAATTGTCTTTGGTTGTGAAAGCAGAGGAGAGGGCATGCAGGGGCTGTGGGAGGGGGTCCGGATGGTGCAGCACAGACCACCCCTACAGCTGGAAAAGTCACACAGCCTCTCAGGAGACAGCATGGTCAGGTCCATAAGGAAACAGCGCGTGACTGGGATCTAAAGAGTGTGACACGATGACATCAATGACTGGCTCCCCAGACACTCGCCCCATGGTAAGGACGAGGCGCAGAACACGATATTAGGGACCTTCCCAGGCCAATAGTGATGTTTTCCTGAGTCTCTTGCTCAGAGTGAACAGTTTACACATCGTGTGAGGCTGGTTCGCAGGGCCCTCACGGTGGCACCGGGCAGCAGGGAGGGAAGGACAGTACAGAAGGGAGAAGTCAGAAGTGAGACAGGGAGGTGACTTGGGGTGTGGGGTGGCTGGAGGAAAGTTGAAGCAGGACATGACCTCCTCCCGGGAAGCCCTGGTGGCCTGGGACCAAGCTGGGCTGCTCAGGCCCCCATGTCCCTATGCCCCGTCTACCCAGGACAGACGGGGTCCCTCCAGCCTCACCATCACTTTGTGCCTGCCGATGAGGTTGGGCGATTCGCAGAGCAGCTGCACATCCGACACCGTCACCGCACACGGCTTCTCCCCAACCAGCACGGTGTAGTTCAACTTCACGTTGCCCCCAGCGACGGGCGGGATTAGGTTCTTGCCCTGGGTGGACAGGAAAGCCCGGTTCCCACCCCAGAGTCAGGGCCACAGCTACTGGCTAGCTCCATGCCCTCCCACTCACAGCTTCTGAACTGCTGGTGAGCTGTGGAGAGGCCACCTTCCCTAAATAAGTCCCCCCACCCACCAAATCATGGTACATATGCCGTCAACCCCCTTCCTCAGTGGGAAGTCAATAATCAAGGCACTCTTTTGGTCCATCCCAAATGCAGCCTCAGAATCCTTCTCAACACAGAGCTGAGGCAGTCACTACCAGCTGATTCAAATAGCCATAGCAGTTCAAGTTAAAACTTGCTACCCACACTCCAAAGAACCCTACGCTGTTGTTTTCTAAGGGCTGCACAGAAGAAGCAGGATGGGCCTTTGGCCTCCCGGGTTCTGGACTCAGGAGACAGGAAGCTGGGAGTCAGATGGCCAGGGTGCATCCGGACACCCGGATCGGCCCCCACAGCTTGTAAATGAGTGAGCCTCCCAACACCGCAGACTGAGTGTTTACGTACTCTGGGCTATAGCACAGTCTGCCAGGGACTCCAGTTACGAAACGTGGCAGGAGCCCAAGGCCTCTGGCCTCTTCCTGTGACTTGAAAAGCCCCCTTCTCTCACGCAGCAGCTTCCTCTCCCCTACTTCCCCCCTGCCAGCCTCAGCCTACCTTTAGGATGATGGGTGTGCCTGGCTTGAGCTCCAGGATCCCTGAGGGGCCAAAGGCCTCAAACACGGGGTTGGGGTAGTAGGTGAAGTTGGTCTTGTTGAGGATGAGCAGGGACTGGACATTGTCCAGGATGAAGCCGAACTCCTCGGGCCTCTCGGTCAGGTCGGACTGGTGGTCGGGCCCCAGAGCGAGGGCCGGAGCCTGGCAGGTCATCTCGGTAGCGTTCAGAACCTCACAGAGCTGTGGAGGGGAGACAGGACTGTGGAGCATACCTCTGCACACGCACGGCCCCACCGCACCCCCCCCCCCAGGCCACCCTCGACGCTGCCATACGGGACGGCGTTGGCCCGGGACAGGTGTGCAGGAGTCAGAACGCCTCTGCATCCAGGACCACACGGCCTGGGCACTCGAGGAATGAGCTGTGCTGCTGGCACGTGGCTCCAGTCGGCCCGTGGTGGGTAGAACAGGGACTAGGGCATCGCCAAGCTAAGGAGTGGGACTGGGGGTCAGAAAGGTGGAGGAATATGGGTCTAAAACCCCACACACCCAGAAGTGATTGCTCCTCCATGCCTGTATCCTGAGGTGTGAAAATGCCCTCATTCAGCTCCTCCAACCCAGTGTCCCAGTGCTCAGGGGCGTCAGGCGAAATGGGTCGTCAGTGTCCAGGATGGGCCTTTCTGCGTACTCGGGGAGCCTCACACCCTTTAAGGAAGCCGCATGCTGAGTGGACAGCCCCCACGGCCCCTGCCAGCCCTGGACTCACATTGATGTGCTCCTTCCCTCCGTGCTTGGCGCGGATCTGGGGGTTCTGGATGAGGTCCAAGTGCGTGCCCCACACGGCGATGGGTGTGTTCCCACTGGTGGGGAAGAAAAAAGAGGGAGGTGTGTAAACACAGGGACAGAAATAGCAACGCCGACGATGATGATAATCCATCAGACTGAGCTCCGACATGAAAGACCACGATAACCAGTAGGCATGACAATGTTCACGGGGACAACGGTGACAAGCTGACTGAATAATAATAAGGGAGAGCTCTCGGAGGCCAAGGCAAAGACAGTGATGGCCAGATGTCCGTGGCCATCTTGCACTGAGCTCATCTGGAGCGTGGACACCCTGCGGTGGCCGGGGCTACAGCTCAGCCTCCTTGGCCACCCCAGGCCTCCTGACTGCAGCCCCCACCAGTCTTAGAAAGTTTTTCACTTTGCCCTTGGCCTGATGCAGCGGACCTCGCCCACCAGACCCTCCAGGGTCTGAGCACAGCCTCCTGCCCCAGGGCATCCACACCACAAATCTTCACTTCAGAGACTCAGTCGGCTTGGACCTGGGGAAGGCAGAGGCCCAGATGCCAGGAACCTGCTCTGGGGACGCAAATGTGGAAGCCTCCCGGACCAAGGTCTCTTCACTTTGGGGTGTCAGCCAGAGAACTGATGATGGGTGGGGGGTCAGGAGATTCATCTTGGTGCAGCTTTTCAAAGGCAACCTGGATGCCATTGTCCTACTTTAGGGTGGCTGTGAAGCTGACAAGGGGTGGGGACTGTCTTCCCTGGAGACAACTCAAAGCGAAGGGAAGAATCGCCTTTTCCTCAACCAAGGAAGTATCTTCCAGAAGAATCCTACTGTCTACAATAGTTGAGTAGTTATAAGCCTGGTGGGCAAAGAATCTTGAACACTCACTCACATTTATTTCTACCCCTGCCTCCACCCACCCCCCCCCCACATTCCTGTGAAACCATGAGCTCTTCTGCCCATGACAGTGTCTAAGAATGAGCTGTGATACCCAACCATCTCCCGATCTTCTCAGTCATCTCAGGATGCCTTTACCCAGCGCCCCCATCACCATTCCTTACATCACCCAGGCTGGTGTAGGCAATGCAGCGCCCGGATTCTGCAGTGCCGCCTCAGGACAGGTGTGACCTGCAGCAAAACTCTGCAGCCACGGGCAGACTCTGAACCTGCCTGCACCCTCCCTCTTCCCGTCCGCGTGTCTCAGGAGTGGCTGCTGAGTGCCAGGGAGGATGGCACCTCCATTTCCATGACAATGATATGAGGAAGAACCGAATGAAAAGACGCTGTGGCTTCCTCAGGGACTTTGTCTTGGGCACAGGAGCCCACTCCCTGGACTCAGCAGGCCCCGGGGGGAAATCCCAGAATACATTTTTACAGGCTATTTCCCCTCTCCATGCCTTGTGGGTCTCATCTGCTGTAAGATCCTGGCTAAAACTGATAAAGTTTGGGCTTTAGAGAGTTAATTGCTAAGGACAACCAAGTCTCTTATCAGGAAAGCTGCCTTTTCTGGTGTGTGGCAAACTCTTTCTGTAAAGGGTCAGAGAATAAATATTTCAGGCTTCCCAGGCCACGTGGTTTGCCACAATTACTCAGCTCAGCTGTTGTGGTGAGAACGAAGCCTCAGACAAAACATATACAAATGGGTGTGGCTGTGTTCTAATAAAACTTTATTTACAAAAGCAGGCAGACAGTCAGATTGGGGCCCAGCCTGGAGTTTGCTGACTCCTGGTTCAGAGAACTCCCTGTTCTCTGTACTGGACTGGCTCCTGACTCCTGCCTCAGCTGGTGGAGGCCACATCTCCACCACCCCCCACCCCAAGCAGACAGCGGGAGGGCTGAGGACGCACAGGCGTGGAGGAAGGGGGCGCTGAGTCAGGCACTGTGCTGCGCATGTGCACCTCCCTGAGTTCTCAGCCGCTCTTGGAGGGAGCTGACTGATGGGAAACCCTGAACTCGGGGAGGTTAGGTAACCTTTAAGGTCACTTGGCTGGTAAGCAGTGGCGCTGGGCTGAGCCCACTCCCTCTGACCCCAAGCCCTCGTTCCATCCCCCACACGTTCCCTGATGCAGAGGTTTCCCTGGGATCACCCAGGGCCTTGCGGTCGGGATGCCCTCCGCAGGCCCTGGAGAAGCAGACTACTGCCACCTGCCTGAAGTTCCCTCCCAGAGGGGAGATACCCGCGCTCCAGGTGCCACCAAGCCAGTGCTGAAAGGGTCCCCAGGGCTCCTGGAGTTTCCCAAGCCCCAGGGGTAATCAGTCAAGAGGTGGAGACCCTGGGAAATTATGCAAATGACCCAAGTCAGCTTGTGACTGGCTGAGCAAGAGGCAGCACCAGAGGCTCTTTCTGCAACAGCATTGTACGGGGCTCCCTGGCCTCAGAGACGAGTTCTGTGGAACAGGCCCCGGAGAAAGGGCAGGGAACGAGACCCAGTCCCTGCCCTTGGGGAGTTTTTGCAGTAGTGGGAAGCACAAAGCAAACAGGCAGTGGGAGGTCACTGTGCTGAGACAAAGGCCTGCGGAAGCACGGAGGCCGCTCATGCTACCTGGACCCCACTGGTCGGCATGCACTTGCTTTCCTTCCAGAGAGGACCGGGGAGAAGCCGGACCTGATCTCACTCCCCCTCCTACGTTCCTCAGCAGGACTTGAATTACTGTCCGTATTTGCCAGGAGCAAGGTTTAGGGGAGAGGGACTGACACGTCCCCCAGACAGTCACTCTGAGATGGGTACATGGCCTCCACACCTTGAATTAGAGGCCGAGGCCTCTGGTCGGTCAGAGCTTGGCCTCCAGGGCCGGGTCCTACTCAGAGATGTCCTCAGGGAGAGGAGGGAGCCACCGTAGGCTGAGGTCTTCTGATTTGGGGGTGGGAAGGGGTGTCGTAAACCAACCCCAGTTCATCAGTTCCCAAAGTGGGGGTCATGGCCCCCAGAGCTCCCCTTGGGTTTTGAGACGAGAAAGGACGGGAAGGGTGGGCGGCTCCTACCTGACGATGCTCCAGTCTGGCTCAATCCGCACGATGGTGGGGTCCTCCACGTACTGGAAGAACAGGTCCTGGCGGATCCTGGCCCTGTCCACCTGCACTGTCACCTTCATCTCCATCACCTCCTCTGAGGATGTGGTGTTGCAGACGATGTAGGATGAAGAGCGCCTGGAGGGAGGGAAGACACGGAGCTGGGCTCCTGGGGGCCCAGGAAGGAGGTGGTCCTGGGTCAGGGCCCTCTCACCCCCCTGCCCTGTTTGTCCAGCTCCTCAGAGGTCGTGGTGAGCACAGTCTCAGATGTAAAACTCTGGGACCTACTGACAAAGGCAGGTTCTTCTGAGCCCTCTTTCTGACTAGGCCTCCCCCTGGGGCCTGGTCTGCAGCCGGCCCCACCCCACTCTCAGTAAGAATCCTGCTAAGTCAGTTCAGCAAGAATCCCCCCAACCCTTGATATCTGCGGGCCCTCTGTATCTGAGCACCCTGGCCGACCTTCAGTGAGAATCCTGCTGAGTTGGTTTAGTAAGGATTTCCTCCTAGGAATCTCCTACCCACTGGCCTCTTACTCTGCTTGTTGGGTGTAAATCCCCAGCCGTCTTTGCTGTGTTTGGAATCGAGTCTCTCTTCCCTACTGTGATGTTTGGCACCTACTGCAACAGGCCTGAATCAATTCTCTTTGCCCGAGGTCACAAGCAACTTTTCATGAACAGTCTTCCTGCAAGGCCTGGCCTCGTCTGACTTCACATCTGCCCCGGCCTTCGGCATAGTTCCGTCCTGGGAATCCCTCTCTGCAGAACCTCCAGCCTGTGGAGGGACTGACCCCCTGTCACCTCTCCTAGAGTCAGAGAGTCCTTCACTGGACACACCTCCTGCCTCCCTGGCCCCTGTGCTCCTGGCTCAGAAAAGGCAGGCCCTTCTGGGGTTGGATGGTGGAAGCAGGAGAGAGAAAGCCAGCACCTTTGGAGATTCGGTTGTAGCTAGCTGGGGCAGCTGCCCCACCAGCTCCCGGCAGTCCCTACTTGCTCTGCAGCAGCTGGTGAGAAGCTAACTGGAGGGAAGAGGCTCTCGGTCCCAAACTGTGTCCCGTGGAAGCCCAGGTTCTGCACAGTGGGTGGTATGGGGCACCAAGGGGAAACTGCACAACAGCACGAGGGGCTCATTGGGGGAGGGGTGCCTGGCAGGGCTTCAGACTGAGCCAGACGCCCACAGCCAGGGGTGCCCAGAAAGCCCTGTCCTGAGGAGGTCGGCCACGTTCCACGGGGAGGAAGCATTTCCGGAGGAAGCATTTGGTGCCCTCCCAGGGGGCCGGCAGACTTTTGGCGATTGTATGGGAAGGCAACTGTTCTGACCCCCTGCCGCCTGGGCGGCCCCGCCCCACTCTGTGCCCTGCACCCCACAGCCTGCCCTGCGGGGAGTTACCTGTGGAAGAGGCAGGGCTGCTTCCCGAACATCACCACCACGTTGCTGCCCGCGTTCAGGTTGGTGCCGGTGATGGTCACCTGGGTGCCCCCGGACATGGGCCCCCGGCTGGGCTTCAGGTCTGAGAGGGTCAGCGTCTGTGTGGAGAAGGGTCCCGCCTGAGACACAACCCGAAAGGGCCGAGGAGGCTTCTGCGCAGGCCTGAGGCAGCGCCCATGGCCCCCGTCCACCTTCTGGAGTCCGCACTGTTGGTGGCCTCCCAGGGGGCCGGCAGACTTTTGGCGCTTGTATGGGAAGGCAACTGTTCTGACCCCTGGAGGTTGCATTTCTATCTTAATAATAGTAACAATACCAATAATAGCCGCTATGTACTGATTTTTTTAAAGTGGCGGGTTTTATACCATCATATATATAATAATTTAATATATTTTAAATATATATATAAGTAATGTAACCACCCAATTAATCCTACACGGTACGTGTTGTTACCCATGGTGCATTCAGAGACGTTAGGTGCAGTTTCCAAGGTAACACAGCTGAAAAGCGGTGCAACCGAGATCTCTTCCAGAGCCCTGGCTCCTCGCCTCCTCTCCAGTCTCCAAACACATTTGCTTTCGGAAGGTGAGCTGCGCCTTCCGCAGACCTTCGGAGAGCTGCCCGAAGCACCCAGGGGCCAGAGCAATGGGGTGTGAGGGCTCCAGGGGAACCCGTGGGGGCCGGCGGGCAGAGCCGGGTCAGCGGATCGAGCGGAGTCGCATTGGAGATGGTGGGGCGGGGAGGCTGAGGACTTGGAGTTGCTGTGTGTTCTTTCATTAGCATTTTAATGGAAAAAACTTTCTTCAGTCCCAGGTGAGAAGACTGTATCTGCATTTAAATGAAGATTTCATTCTCCCCGCCCCCCCAGCCTCTGCCCCCTGGAAGAATTCTGCACCGAAAAGTTGAACCCACTCAGCTCCTCTGAGCTGGCGGGCAGCCTCCCCACAGAGAGGCCTGGTTTCATAGCGCCGGGGAAGCCTGCCGTCCAGTGGCGCGGCCTGGCCTGGGCGTGCGCATGCCCACAAATGGGTACGGGCACAGGGCACTTGCGTGGGGGGGCGGGCTGGGGTCCACCCGCACTCTGCTCGCAGGTCCCGGCAGATCCCGGGCCTGGCAATGCTGTGGCACCTGCCAAGTCGAGGAAGGCCTTCTTCTGCCTCTGCTACTGGCTCGACCAGAGACACGAACGGGGCAGAGTGAAGTGCGGAAAGAGTCTTCCTTTCTCTGTGCTATGTAGAGCGTGCTGTTTCACTTGGGACAAGTCGCTTAACCTCTCTGATCACAAAATCAGGGAACTGGGTCACAAAGGGGTTATCTCAAAGGTGCCTGCCGGTTTTCTGGTTCTGTAACTTGGTGCCAGCTCCCACAGAAGGTTTCTTTGCCCCACTGACTAAAGGCAGAGCTTCTGGACCTGGGCCCTGCCGACCTCCCCAGAGAGGGAAGGGAAAGAGCTGACTCTGTGTGTCCGTGTGCTTGGGCACAGGGGCTGCAAGGAGGGAGGTGTGGGAAGAGACCTAATCAAAAGCGGGGCAGTGAAGATAGATGGGGGTGAAGGAGAGCAGGTGCCCTGGCTGCCTGTGAGGGGGGGGACACTTGGACGGGTAGAAGTGAGTAACCTCTGCTGGCTTTGCTGGGATGGTTCTGGGGGCGGGGAGAGGATGAGATGGGGACTGTTTTAAAGTTGTGAGAAACTATAAATTATTCAAGACATGCTTCATAAATATTTCACGGTGGGTTTGCACGGGAAATCAGATCCCACCTTATTTGCCACCTCTTTGCGGGGCTCCCTGGATGGAGGTAGAGGGAAGGGAAAGGCACTCTTTCCAGGGGGATCTCCCGGGACAGAGCTTGTGACAAGGCCAGGGTGCATCACGGAGCCCGGCCTGATTTGGGGAGGGAAACTGAGGGAGACCCGAACCTTACCCCTGACCTCGGCCCCGGGAAGCAGCACCCCAGCACGCCCTAGGTCCTGAGAAGCAGTCACGAAATCCCAGAGGAGCCCTGGAAAGGGGGTCCCCGGCTGAACCCGACTCCAGAGGAGCTCAGGCTTCCTGTGGGGCCCAGCCTGATCTACCTGCCAGCTGCCAGGAAGGCAGGGAGGGATCTGAGGTGCTGCGGAGCGTGGGAGGGCCCTTCTCTCTCGTCCCGACTTCCCGGTGAGATTCTCGGAGACCTCTGCCCCTCACTCTCACTCTGAACCCCTGGGAGCTCTGTGAGGCGGCCCTCATCGATCAGCCCCTAAATGCAAACTGGGGTCTGGGGAGGAGACTGGGGTCCCTACCACCGTTCCTCCTCCTGGAAAGTCTTCCTGAGTGAACGTGTAGCACCAGGACTGTTTTCCCGAGATGCCTCTTCCACAGGGAGCTGACACAAATATTGAGGCCTGGGGACCCGCGGGGCGGGCGACAGCTCTCCTCTTTCTTGACTTGCCTCCTGTCTGCCTCTCCACCTCCCCATCACCCCTCCCTCTCCCCCTCCCTCTGTCCCCATCTTCTGGTGCATTCCCTGCTCTACCTCGTCCCAGGAACCTCCTCCCACTGCGCAGGATCCACACAGAAAACTGCATCCTGCCTTATACAAACTCTGCCTTTCCATTGGCACCTTCCAGGAAGCCTCGCCTCAATACCCCACATTCAGCCGCATCCTGCTGCGGGGGAGACACGCATGCAGGCAGGACTGACCTGCCCTGGGAGCAGCAGGGGCTTCTGAGTGTCCACCATGGAGACGCTGTAAGAGGGGAGCCTGAGAACAGATGTCAGCAGACACGTGGTAGCCACTCAGTAAACGCTATCTCTTGGCCAGTGGTCCTCAGCCCAGCCCTCGGTTAGGACCTGCTGGGGAGCTTCGTGCCCCAGCTGTGGGGTGTGCGTCAGTCCAGGGTGGCTCCAGAGCACTTGGCTTAAAGCCCCTCAGGGCACTCCAACACGCAGGGAGGGTTAGAACTCACTAAGTGCTGTGGCGGTTGGCAAAGAAATCAACAACCAGGCCTTCATCTCCACACACGGGCTGGTCGGATGGAGGAGCAGGGCCGCAAGGAGGCAATGCTGAGCGCCAGCCAGTGTAGACAGACGCCATGCATCCCCGGTGAGCGGGAGAGGGCACCCCGGGAGAAAGCTGAGCAGTAGGCAGTGAGCAGGACTTGGAAGGATGGGGGATGTGGTTTAGAGCAACGCGGGGAAGGAGAGAGAGAAGGGAAGGGGGTCGGGCCACACAAAGCCTGGAGCAATAGGGCTGGATAGGCAGGGCAGCCAGACCACGGAACTTGGAATAGAGCTAGAGGCAGTGGGCGCCTGGCTCTGAGGCAGGGGCCGCCATATTGAAAATGGTATTCCACCGTGGTGGATGGGTCTGGATGGGTTCAGACCAGAGGCAAGGATTTGAGGAGGCCATTGTGGTGGTAAACAGAATGGGAGAAGCAAGACTCCAGGACACGGTGATGGAGCAGAACTAGAGGAAACCGAGTCACAGTCCAACACTGTGGGCTTGAGTGACAGGCCAGTGATGGAAATGGGCAAGTGAGGGTGACACCCTGTTTGTGGGAGCTGGCGCCTGGGTGGGTCATGGGAGGGGAGGGCAGGACATTCAGGGGGCAGTGGCCTTTGGGCAAGTCACCAAGGTGAGAGGTCTGGCTGATGACACCGCAGAGACAGCTAAGGCCCAGAGGAAACAGCTGCTTAACGAGGTGGTGGCTGTCCCCACTACTGTCCACTTTGTCACTGCCCAGCACCCACAGGATCAAAACCATGCCAGGCAGGTGAGTGGCCAGGGCAGTGCAGTGCTTGCTTTGCCCCTGCAGTGGCTGACCTTTGACCGCGGCCACCAGAGTTCGTGCCATGTCGGAACGCCAGGCCACACCTCTCCAATACCTGCTGAGGGCTGTCTGTCTCTGTCCCCATCTCCCTTTCTCTCTGCCTCTCATTGTCTCAGCCCTGCTGGAGTAACAATTTATGTACATTATACATATATATAATATGCAACACATGTGTGTACTTTCTATATAAACACATGCACATTTATTACTAATTGTCTCAAGGTGCATTGGGTGTAACTTAAAATTCCCCTCAAATCCTTTCAGGAGGAAGTGGAGGTACAGATCCTACACAAATAGATGAAAACTACACATCCCTTAGATCCATTACATGTGTGTGTCCTTCTACATGAGTTTCCGGTATATTTTGTGACAGACAACTGTTTATAAGGTCGGCTGGTTTTCCAAGAGCACAGGGGGCAGGGCCCAGGCGGGTGGGCATCTACGCTCAGCCCTCCGAGGCCAGTCCCCACCACGCTCACGTTGGCATGCAAGTCCTGCGTGTCATCGCACCTTCTCGACTGTGGCCTCCTGCGGGAGGGGCCGTGTTGGGTCTGGCCTGTCGCGGGATGCCCACAGGCCAGGGCAGTCAAATTAGTATTATAGAACTCAACCAATTAAGCAAGTATTGATCAATGAATACCTAGTGAGAGGTGCTGTGCAAGGAGACGAACAGTTGTCACTTGCACAGAGAAAGAAGAGGATGGTGGTAGATGAAAGAGAAGGAAGAGAGGAAGGAAGGAAGAGTGGAAGGAAGGGAGGAAGGATGAAAGGAAGGGAGGATGGAAAGATGGGAGGAAGGAAGGAAGAAAGGGAGGGAGGGAGGAAGGAAGGGAGAGAGGGAGGAAGGGAGGATGAAAGAAAGGGAGGGAGGGAAGAAGGAAGGAAAAAAGGGAGGAAGGGAGGGAGGAAGGAAGCAAAGGAGGGAGCAAGGGAGGGAGGGAGGGAGGAAGGGAGGTGCAGACTGGCTCCCCATGACAAACTGCAGGCCATTTAATGCTCAGACGTACAATCCACCACTCAGGTTTCTGGCTTCCCAGAGCAGCTCAGCATCATGAGGAAATTATACCAGCACAGTTGTCATTAACCTGACAGGTTAACTGGATGGTAAGACAGGTTGGAAAAGGATGCGGCTCGTGTGGCAGGGGATGTGCCCATGTCTCCGGCATCCCTGTCATCAGAGGTTCTTTAAGCTGCTGCCCTACAGAACCCCTCACCCAGACGGCCCAGGGCCGGCCAGGCAGCCTTTGCAGGGCCAGGGAGGGTCCAGGCTGCCGGGAAGGGAGGGCTGGGTGACGTCTGCCACGGGGCCGTGGGAGGGGGAGGGAGATGCAGGGAAATGGGTGCTGAGGTGGGAGGGGTAGCAGTGTGGGTAGAGGAAGGCGAAGTGCAAGTGGGACGTGGGACAATGAGGCGGTCACGGGACAGGGATGGCAGTGAGTGGGGAGGGTGGGGTGAGTGAGGATGATGGGAGGGAAATGCCGGGGTGCCAGTGTGCAGGGCAGGGCACAGGAACCCCGGGGGCAACCACAGACGTCATAGAGGAACCGACACTGGAAGTGAGAGGCTGATTTTATGGCATGCTGACAGCTATACCACGGGGTAGATGCCATTATTGTCACCCCCGTTTTAGAAATGACGGTCCTGAGGCACAGAAAGTTTAAGCTGCTTGCCCAGGTTCACTCGGTGAGTGGCAGAGCCAGCACCCAAATCCCAGGAGTCCTGATGCACAACTGCCACTCACCTTCCATGCCACACTGCCACTCAGAGGGCACGCCGGGGCCCAGGAGCCAAAGCCACTGCCCTGGAACTTTGAGCCAGGCACAGGCGGATTTGAACCCAGGTCTTCCAGACTTCCACAGCTGTGCTCCCATGTGCTGCAGGACAGGACTCCCCTGACCTTGCCCAGGACTGGCCCCAGAGGTTGAGACAGGGCCAGCAGTCATGGTACCGAGGTCGCTGGCCTGTGCCTGGCCAGGCCACTGGTGGCCGGGACTCACCATGAAGTAGTAGAGCTGCGAGGACCGGGCCATGAACTCGGGCCGACACACGGCCACACAGATTTCCACGAAGCCGGCGTGCTGGCTGGGCTTGGCCTCCCCCATCTCACACACGATCCTGCAGGTAGGAGAGGACAGACCCCATGGGTCACAGGAGGGTCACAGGCTCCCAGCCGTTACCCCTGGGCCCTAGGCTCTCAGTGGGGTCTCAGGGATGGGCGGAGCAGGAGGAGGGGAAAGACGCCCCAGATTCCTTCCTGCAGGGGCTCCCCCTTGGATCTCAGGAAATGAGAAAATATGACCTTCAGAGTCTCCTTGGAGGCCTTCTGCAAAGTGGGGAGCCTAGGGGAGGGTCCCTGCATTCTGACAGGACACTCAGTCCCTAATTCATGAATTAGCCCCTCATCTATGAATTACTGTGAACTTTGGCCAAACAACTTAGCTGAAGGAGTTGGCAGGGCCAGAGAGGTGGCAGGACTTGCCTGAGGCCACCCAGCTGGTCAGACAGGAGCCCCGGCTCAGACCTCGGTGGCCAGGGCAGGGCAGGTCGGTGCTGTCCGAGCCCCGCTGCTCCAGGGGCAGGGCCGGCCTCAGAGGTGCTTCCACTCCCAGCCCCAGCCTGGGAGGAGGCACTCAGGGTGGGGGACAGGCGATGATAACTTTTTCCCTTTTTATACATTTTTATTGCTTTAGTTACAGAATTTGTTCATACCCTTTGAGACTGGGACAGTAGAGAAGTGTGACTGTAAAAAAAGTGTCCCTTTTTCACTCCTAACCTTTCCTAAAAGTTTGGTATATATAACCTTGCAGACCTTTTACTAGACCTCTGCAAATATATTATATAGATACACAATCTCCATTTTACAAATGAGGAAACTGAGGCACAGAAAAGTTAGGCAACTTTCCCAGATGTATAAATTTGCACATATATAAACATACATATGTATGTTTGATATGCACACACATAAACATAAATGTTATATACACACACACACACACAAACATACATATGTAAAGAAACATATACATGACCAATAAAATAAAGTGAAGCATAATTGCCCTTATTCTAACCTCTCTCTTTTTACTCAGCACTACAGCATGGGTGTCCCTTCGTGTCACTGTACATTCTGACGGCTTCCTGGAGTTTCATACTATGACTGTGCCGTCATTTCTCGCCATGACTACTGGTGAGGTGCACATATTTTCTTGTGTGTGTGTGTGTGTGTGCATCTCATCTCACACAGCCTTCCCGTTGACTTGTGCAAAGCCCTCTCTTTATTTTGCTGATGGATTGTCCTTTGGAGCTGCTGAACTAGGGTATTCACTTTTGCCTTTAATAAATATTGCATTATTTTCTCCCAACCGGTCACCCGTGCTTCAATTTTGTTTATAATGCCCTTTGCCACGCTGAAGTTTAAAGGTAGTGGCGTGGTTCCGTTGCTGGTTCTTCTACTTTCTGGCTCCCGGTTCTGCATTTCCCTTAGAAAGAACATCCGGGAGAGGGTCCAGCAAAAACACGTGCCCTTCAGTCCACATACTGTAATTAATACAAGTTCAGCATAAAAAAAATAGAAAGTGCGCAAAAGCCCTCACCCTACCTACACCTGCCCCCAGGGGCCTCCCCCGGAAATACTCCGTGTCAGCCCTGGTGTGAGCATGTTTCCAGTCTGGCTTGTCTTTCTTAAATTTAATGAGAAACTCTGCATTCTGCTGGGGAACCTGTTCGCACCTAATATACTGAATGCCCCGAGAGTATTCCTGGCCATGATTCTTCCATGATATCACATTTAATGGCTGTGTAGTTTATTGTCCTCTGCACACAAAATAATTTATTCAGTTGATTAATTCCCTATTTTCAAACATACAAATTGCCTCTAAAATTTTACTATTATAAATAAGGCTGAAATAAGTATTCATGCAAATAAACATTTGCGCATTCTGGTTATGAAGGGAAGAATCCAGAAGCATTAGGGCCAGGCTGGATTTGTGATGCTCATTTCCAAACTGCCTTCTAGAAAGTTCATCCCAGTTTGCCCTCCCGACATGAGTGCACGAATGTGCTGTTTCTCTTGCTTCTCGTCGGCACTGGGCGCCGCCTTTCCAAAGCTGTTCCCTGTCATTGTAATTTGCGTCTCATTGATTACCACTGATGTTACATATTGTGACATGACTTTCGGTTCTTTGTGTCTTTTTTTTTAATTGTGTATTCTTTCTTTCTTCATTTATTTATTTTTAGATTTTATTTATTTATTTTTAGAGAGGGAGAGAGAGAGAGAGAGAGAGAGAGAGAGAGAGAGAGAAACATCAATGTGTGGTTGCTGGGGGCCGTGGCCTGCAATCCAGGCATGTACCCTGACTGGGAATGGAACCTGCGACACTTTGGTTCGCAGCCCGCGCTCAAGCCACTGAGCTACGCCAGCCAGAGCCTCTTTGTGTCGTTTTGAATTGTACATCCACGCTCTTTGTCCACTTTGTGATAGTTCCCTTCTATCTACAAAACCTCTTTAGATGTTAAAAAAAAAGTATCTCTTAACTGTAACAGGGTATAACCATATACCCAGTTTATCATTCCTATTTTCCTTTTGCTTACAGTGATTTTCGATGCTCAAGTTTTAAGTTTTATTACTCAGCTCTTCTCATCTTTTCCTTTATGATTTCTCTTTTGCGGTTATACTTAGAACGCCGTTCTTTTCTTGAAATGAGACAAATTCTCACATGTAATTCCTGCTAATCCTTTCACAGCTTCATTTTTTACACTTAACTTTTTAATCTGTCTGGAATTTATTTTGCTTTATAAAGTGAAGGGAGGATCTGACACTGTAATTTCTTTCAGAGAGTTAACCAGCGCCACTTACTGAATGATCTTTCCTTTCCTTGCTGATTCGAAATGTCACTTTTATTACATGCTAAATATTTATATATCAGGATTCTGTTTCTGGGTGTTTATCTTATTCCACCGATCTAATGAGTACCACAATATTTCAATCCTGTGGTTTTATGATTTTTTTTAATGTCAAGCCCCAAGTAGGACATTTCAAGATCCCCGCAAATCACAATAGATCAGTAACAACAGCCTGTTTGGTTTTGTTCTAGGAAAGACTCGGGAAGTTGAAGGAGCCACCAAATGATTCTCAGTTAAATAATCGATGATGGACCAGCAGGGTGAGTCCCACCAAGACTGGAACCTCCGATTATCTGATCTGTTCTGAGCCCCTTAGGAAGACAGAAAGGAAATCAGGAGGAATTGAGGACGGCAGTGCTGATGGTTCCAGAATCACTACATCCGGGCAAGATCCAGCGAGCAGAAATTTAAAGGGCCCTGACCCACCTAAGGGAGGCCTTGCAAAGAGTCAATAACTTAGGCACACAGGACAGGTGGCAAGTTTCACTCCGGAGGGGCAGCAAAGACGGTATAGAATATAGACGCTGTTGTGCTGCTAAACATTTCATGGCTCTGTTTGCTGGGCTAGAAAATTGTGTTTACTTATTTACAAGGCAATCTGTGACTCGCAAACCTCCTCCACCAGGCAGGTCAGAGGTCAAGGTCACTCGCCGAATGACCGTCCCAGTGGACCAGCAGATTTTGCAAAGAGAAAAACAATCCACAGTACCCACAGGCCTGCGAGTGAGTGCGGAGTTTCATCTGCCGTCTCCACGGAGTAGCACAGCACCTGTTTCTATGAGAGCTCGGCGAGGATGTGCGTGGGGAGTCAGTGCAGCAGGGGGGGCTGGGGCAAGCCGTGGAACTCATACTCCCCTTGCAGATGTTAACTTTGCTTTGTCCCACTCTCACAGCCCAGGGAAGTTAACGATCACTTCCCTCTCCCAGCGGTTCCCCTAATGAGGCAGCGGACTAGTTCCGGTACCGTGGAGTTGTGGGAGTCCCACCCCAACACCCTAGGGCGTGAAGGGCACTCTCTGTTTATTCCCGGTAAGCTGTAAGATGCTCTGTTGTTGGCGAGGGGAAATAAGTCAACAATAACACAACTTGCTGCTGGCTTGTCTCCCCTCCCCTCCCGTGCCTCTCTGTCTCCGGTCACGTCCACTCACTGTTCCGCAGGGACGTAGCCATCCACCAAAGGGCTGCACTCCACGCCGGCCACCTTGACGTAGGAGGCGATGTCTCGGAACTCCAGACCCAGGTTCTCTCCTCTGATGGTGACCTTGGTGCCCCCTTCCCGGGGGCCTGTCACTGGGATTATCTGCAGGGAGGAAGATTGGTCATTTGGCAGGCACTGCCGGGATGGAGTCGTCACCCACTTGCTGATGGGCCGAGGAAAGGCTGCTGCTGGCCCTTCCCCATCTCCACCCCGTTCCCTGTGTTGTGTCCTAGTCCACCAGGGTACCCAGGTTTGGGGCAGTCAGTGAGCAGGTGCTTCTGGTAGAGCAGCCCAAGTTTGTGCATGGTGTTAGGAGCAGTGTTCAAAGACCCTCATTCATTCCCTATTTCACAGAAGATCCACAATGTTATAGGTAATTCATAGGAAATGAGGACTAAAGCCTTCTGGCATTTGCTTATGTTGGCACTCTTGTAAAAAAAAATGACCCTCCTGTGAATCCACAACCCTTCACACCATGGAAACCCACCTATTTTTTAAAAATCCTCACCCAAGGATGTGTTCATTGATTTTAGAGTGAGAGGAAGGGAGAAAGAGAGAGACAGAAACATTGATGTGAGAGAAACATCGATAGGCTGCCTCTTGTACATGCCCTGACTGTGCACTGAACCCACAGCCTAGGCATGTGCCCCGGCCAGGGATTGAACCTGCAACCTTTTGATGTACGGGATGATGCTCCAACCAACCGGGCCACCCGGGCAGGGTGGAACCCACCCATTTTTAAAGATCCTTCTCACCCTGGCTGGCGTAGCTCAGTGTATTGAGCGCAGGCTGCGAACCAAAGCATCACAGGTTCGATTCCCAGTCAGGGCACATGCCTGGGTTGCAGGCCACGGCCCACAGCAACCCCACATTGATGTTTCTCTCTCTCTCTCTTACTCCCTCCCTTCCCTCTCTGAAAATAAATAAATAAAATCTTTAAAAAAAAGATCCTTCTCAAATGTCACTTCCCATAGCCAGATACTCACCTTCCTTATCCCTCTTGCAGCCCCCTCCCCCCAAATGAAACTTTCAGGCACCTTCTCTGTGCTCCTTCCAGGGTAACATGGGTGCCTGACTCCCACCGTCCCGCCCCCACCGTCCCCACTCCCTCTTCAGAGCCGGAGTCTCTGAGCATCACTTCTCCCTGTGGACGTCCCTGGACAGCACCATCTTTGGCTCGAGAGTTGTAACTGTACCACCAACTCCCATTCTCCAGGCATCTTCCTGAGCGAGCACAGCGCTTGTCAAACCCCTCCCCCTTCAGTGTCTGGCTCGGTTTCTGAGGGAGATTTGTTTAATTTAGACTCTACTCTCAGGCAGGGGCCAAAACGGTGGCTTTCCCACCAAAGAGGTCTGTCACCTGAGCTGCTGACACCCGTGACTGAGATGTTAACATCTAACCCCTGAGGGCCGGCTTTGCGGGAGGGGCTCTGTGCAGTTCACACAGTGTAGCCGTGGCGTCCCCCAGTAGTGACCTTAGTGGCAGAAGACATTTGTGCCAGCCTTTCTTGGCATTCGATGGACAGAAAGGCTCATTTCCCATTCCTGGGGCCTCTGAATGCCAGTCGCTGGGTCTTGGCCAATGTCAAGGAGATCACAATGGAAAGAGTCCAGATAATCCACCTCTTAATAGGCCCTGCTCTCCCTACCCCTCAAGGCGCACAACAGAGAGGTTTCCTTTGGGGGGAGGCAGTGAAAGATGGGAAAGGAACTAGGCTGGGGTGACCCTGAGGGGCAGCTTTGCCAGGGGTGGTGGTGAGGGTGGGGAAGCTGTTCACTTACAAAAGTCAAGACACTTCCTGCTTCTTATACAGGCACATGGTGCATGTTTGTGGGTAAGCGTGCGTGTGAGTGCGAGGGTTTGCACATGTGTGTAACAACAAAGGCCCTTTGCAGACAAGAGACCCATTTCTGTGTGAGGAGTTGGGCTGATACATGGCAGGAGGAGTCTGAGTTCTCCCCAGATGTCTGCCCAGCCGGTCCCCAAAGTGCCGCTGGCACCTGGCGGTGGCAGCAGCTGCGTGATACTCCAGCCCTGGCTTGTCATCCTGCAAAAGGAGTTTTTCTCGGGCCCAGTCCTCGGTTCCCTGGGTTCCCTGGAGGGCTGATGCCAGTATGGAGCCAGTCAATAGCCTCTGTCTCCAGATTTGTGTAATTTGCCATCTCCTCCCTGCAATTTTCTTGATCTCAGGCCAAGAAGAAAGCAAGTCCCACCATTTTTGCCAGACACACTGTTAGCAATTACACGTGCCAGGGTGGTTTCTTGTTCGGGGCTCGGAGGGTGGGGGAGGTGAGGGGTGGTTGGAAAGGAGGGAGAGTGGGGCGTGGCCCAGGTATGGGGTCAGCGCCAGGGGCTGGAGGGGTGACCTTTAGGGGGGCTTTCTGCTGCGAGTGTGGAGCAGGGAGGTGCAGACACAGGACAGCAATTTGCTTGGCTTAGACACGTGCAGCACTGGTTTTAATAATGATGGTGGAGGAGGAGGAGGAAGATGGGAAGATACCCATAGGCTGGGCATGGATCGTCTCATATAGTCCCCATAACGCCCCGGTGAGGTGGACGCCTAGACCCACCGCCCAGGTGAGCAAGCTGAGGCACAGAGGCAGTGACGAGTTAGCCCTGGGTGGCCCAGCAGCTAGCTGACAGAGCCATGACCCCCGCCCGGCCTCTGTCAATGGTCCACTCCCTCCCACTGATGGAGTGTCACAGTGTTGTCACTGGAAGAGATTTTGAGAGACACAGGGAGGGTGCCAAGGACTTCGAGTCCTTTTAGACACAGTGTACGTGGAGACTCCAACAGGACCATTGAGTTCCTCTCTGCTTTTGCCTTCCCTCGAGAAGGGAAGGGCCTCTGAATCAAGCCTGCAGCCCCTGGGGAAGCCGTGCAGGCAGACAAGGTGCCCCGGCCAGTCAGTGAACCCTGGCTGACCCACACCATGGCCGGCAGGGCTCTCGAGGCCCCAGCCCCACGCAGGGCCCACTGCACCATGGCTTACCTCCGTGATGCGTGGGTTCGTGCACTTGCTGTTGGCTCCCGCCAGCTCCAGCCACTGGCTCTCGTGGGTGGGGCAGTGCTGCCGCAGGGTGCACTGACCCTGAGCCTGGCACCAGCCGCACTCGAAGTCTGGGTCCGCCTTGAGGCACAGGCCGCAGCTCTCACGCATGGCTCCGCACTTGTAGAGGTGAACTGCGGGCAAAGGGCCGGAGTGAGACGGGGTTGGGGGTGCTGGGAGGCGCTGGGAAGTATGGGCATGAGTGCAGCCCCAGCCTCTGGTGACGGGGCTGGACTGGGAAGGCCAGTCTCCCTCTAGCCAGCCCTGCTCACTGCACTCCTCTCTGCCCGAGGCCACCCACCCGTGCTGAACCTGTGCCCAACAAGTCACAGAGCAGCGGGGGTGGTGGAGAGGCTGTGGAGGATGGGCTCCGGCCAGGGGGAGAGGGGCAACCCAGGAGGTAGAGGTGCATGACACCTGCCGGTGAGTGCAGAGTAGCTCTCTCCTCCACCCCACCCCGCCCCTGCCCCAGGCCACCTTCCACACCTTTATTCTGGGCGGGGTTGTCGATGTTGAAGTGGCCGTTCCACACAACCATCAGCTCCACCGGCAGGTTGTTGATCTCCATCCCTTCATAGGAGTACTGCGGCCGGGTGGCGGGAGGAAAGAAGGAGGCTGGGTCACAGCGTTCTAGAGGGGCTCCACATGCAGCCTGGGCCCCTCCAGGGCACACGGGACTAAAGACTGGCCACGACTATGCATGTGTATGTGCGCGTGGAGGGGACACATGTGTCCATGCACGCACATCTGTGTGTGGGCAGGGAGGGGAAGCACGTATCCAGGACACAGGGTGCAGGGTTCAGGAAGCTAAGGCAGGGGAGGGCCGGGCCTGCTGGGTGGGACTCCCATTTGGAATGCAGGTCCACAGAGCAGCTTTGCACGAGCTGCTCATCCACCTTCCACAGAGGCCTCTGCCCATAGCTGGGCTTTCCCCACGAAGTGTAACTGAGCCTCGGCCTTGGGCCTGTGGTCCTAAGAGGTGGGGAGGGAGTGTGGGGAGAGGTGCTGCTGGGGATGTGGGGTGGAGGGGTAGTCCCCAGGCAGGCCAGCCCCCATCTGCCTTCTGATAGCAGACAGCTCTCGATCCCCAGAGCCTGCCCTGGGCAACGTTTCCAATCCCTACCTGGTGCTTTTCTCATTATCTCACCAGACTGCCTCCACAGGGGGGAGCGGGAGGAATGGAACTGAGACGGGCTTCTGCAGAGGAGGGGCTGAGGTCTGGCAACTTGTTGGAAGTGTCTGGTCCAGGGGACTAGGTCTGAAGGGGCATTTGCAGAACTAATAGGCTCTCTTAACTTCAAGTTTGGGGTGTAGATGGTTATTATGACAGGCAGCTGACACTCCCCCACGGAGCTAGCCACGGCACCTTCACCGGGGGGAGGAAGCCACAGAACCTTGGAGCGTACGGGCTGGGGAGGGGGCCCGGGCCTGTCACCTGTGCCTCTCAGCTCTTAGCCCATCTGTGGGGGCTTCCAAAGAAGTTATAATCCTAAACTGAGAAATCACCCAACATTCTTGAGTTCCAGTATGAATATAGATGAGTCCTCGTACAGCCACGTAAGTAGAATACATGTCCAGCCTTCTCCAGGGTCTATGCTACTGCTCTGAAATGTTCACCGACTCCCTGGCGAGCATGCTCTGGCCAGGGAGCCACGTTCAGTGTTTTCCCCACAAGGGCGTGGCTGGCACCCTCCACACTGTCATGGCGTTTCCCTGTGACCGATGACACCTGGGCCAGGGCCAGAGTCTGTGTTCAAGCCACAGAACAAAGCACAAACTCCCTGGCCCTGCAGAGATGGCAGCGGGCCGGGGGCGTGGGGGGCGGTGTTGATCAGCGCATAACTCAGCTGGAGACTCATAAACTCTTTCCCACATAGCTCGGTCGCCAGGTCCCCAGAGACTCTGTGCTTTGTGTTGGGGTCAGGCTGGATCCTGGCTTTTTCTCACAGGATTCCTTCTACTCTAGGTGGGTGGCTCTCCTGGACCACCTTCATCCGATCATCCAGGGGGCCGACTAAATGCAGATTCCAGGGCCCCACCCCGGGCTGTGGAATTGGCATTAAAGGAGATGGGGAGCATTTCAAACAAGCAACTCTAGTGTTTCTGGTGCTCGAGGGAGGTGTGTGGGGGAGGAGGGAGATAGAGAGAGAGAGAGAGACATTTTCAGACCTTCCTTGCCTTCTCCCTCCTCCACGGCCCATGGGGGGAAGTGTGGTGAGGGCAGCCCCAGGCTGCCGCTAGAGGGCGCTGGCACTGCCTGGCTCTGGCCAGGACCCGCAGCAGGCTATGACTATGGGCATGGGGACGGCAGATCGACAGAACCTTCAGACCCCTCTCAGGAAGAACCTGAAATCCCCCAGAGAACACGACAAGAAATTCGACACATGTATGAATGCGTCTGTGTGTACAAGTGTGTTCACATGCATGCTGACTGGAGAAGAGGTCAGAACTGTGTTATCCTCGAGTTCGGACACATGAGCACGCACACACGCATTGCCCTGACGGGGTTCTGCTGCGACCAGCTGTACAAATGCAGGCAAGTGATGGAAGTCCCCATGTCCCCATTTGTAAAGCGGGACTGCAAACAGAGCCACCCTCACGGCGTTGCCAGGAGGGTGCGAGACAGCCACCCAACGCTCTGATGGTGCCTGTCAAGCAGAGCGGGCACTCAGATATCACCGTGCATTTAATCTGCCTGTACACACTTAGGGACGCGTGCGCAATATGTTTGTTTGTGCGGAACAGTAACAGCAGCCACTCACTGAGTGTGTGTGCGCTGGACCCCAGTGCGTACGGTGGGGCACATGTATGAGAAGGCCTGTGTGTTCCGACGTGCACATGTGTGCACACATTTTCTTTTTGAAGAAAACTAAAAATGAAAAAGGCTTTAAGGATCGAATATGCTGGGTGTTCCTTTCTCTTTTTCTCCCCCACTCCCGGGGTCTTGAGGATGGAATGGTACAGAAATCATTGACTCCCTACCACCCCCTCCATCCCTAGGGAAGTCACGCTCCTCCCTGGACACCCTGTCTCCCCGTAACCTGCCCCCCACATGGAGAGTGGGGTGGGCAGACAGCTGGGGAGCCCGGACCACGGCTCCCATCCCCTACCGCCGCCCACCTCTGTGCCACTCAGCATTTGTGTAGCTCTCTGGGATCAGTGGGCAGTGCCTCTGCACAAGGCCCAGAGCTCAGGGAAGAGTGTTCAGGCTCCCAGGGGCTAGGGACCACTTGATTAAGTGTCTCAGTCAAGTCTGTCACACCATGGCCCAGCTAGTGGATGACATTGATGGTGACCTTGGGCAAGCGTGAACCTCCATTTATCTACCTTCCGGAGCAAAGAGAACACATCTATGGAATTTGGACATTCTTTGCTCCAACCGTTCTCTCGTCCCGAGCTCTGAGGTGTTGGGCTGGAAAGGTCTAGCATTTGGGTGAACAAAATATCTGAACAACACAAGAAGCCTGTGTATCTGTCTCTGGGATCCCAGACGCGAGGCAGACCAACTCTCAGCGGTGCCCCAGGAAAGATCACAATGTGCCCCCCTGTCAGCCTCGCCATCCCTGTTTTGTGTGCGGTACCTTGGGGCACCAAGAGAAAACGCAGGCCACTGTGGGTCCGTGGAAGCTGGGCTGCAGCCACCGGCTGCCTCCCAGGGGCCCACTTGCTCTGGGGATTGCTGGTGTCTGAGAGGCAGGTACTAGGCACTATTATTAGCAGCCCTTGACATTTCTCTGGAACCTTGGTCGGAGGGAGGCCAGGAATAGGCACAGTTGTTCTCCTTCCAGCTGCTCCTGTGAGCTGCCCTGTCTGCCTCCCACGGCCCCCTTGAAGGGTGTGGTGATTGGACTGGGGCCTGTCCCCAGTGAGTGGGCTGGAAGCGACCTGCCTGCCCACCCAGCCTGGCATCACGCCCATGCTGAGTTTTCCTGTGTCTCTTCCTTCTCTGCTTCCCTCAGAGACCTCTTCGTCGCCCACCTCTCTCTGTCGTCACACACCCGGGGGGCTTCTCCCTTAAACCCTCTCCCTTCCTCCCCCAGCCCAGGGAGCAGCTCCCTCAGCAAAGAACAACAGTAGCTCTTCTCCCACAGTCCTCTCCGATGCGGCTCAGACCCTGCTCCCGGGGCCGCACCAAGGCTGGGGGATGCAGTGCTCAGCTGCTAACTCCGCTTTGTTTAGGGGGTGTGTTGGAGCCCAGCACCGCCTTTCCTTGTCCCGTTGTTACTGACCAGGGGGCAGCACCGAGTCCCCGGAGGAGACCCAGCCCTCATGTGTCAGGGCTGCTGAGCTTCGGTGTGCGCCCTCGTCCCCAGGAGGCTCTGAGTTTGCGCCCCATTCAGGGAGTTCCCTGGGACCCCCAGAGGGCTCAATCATTGAGCCAGGCCTTGGCTCAGGAAATGCGAGGCCATCTGAACACAGGCGACCTCCAACTCTGGCAGGACGAGAAATGCAGCGGTCCAGGCAAGCCACTGGGGAGCTCGTCCAGTCGCCCAGGGATGGACGGAGTTCTGACCCAGGGGTTGATGGGACCGACTCGGGCTGTCATCTGGGTCACACTGGCCTATTTAGCCGAGTTAGCAGGAGCACAGGGCCCAGTCCTGTGATGTCTGGGGAACTGAAGACTCATCATCAGAAGCCGCAGACTCTGTCCTCCCTCCTGACATCGCTGGGGCTCGGGGCCCTGGGCAGCTTCCCTGAGGGACTGAGGCTGTTTTCTCCGTGGTCTGAAATCCCCAGCTGCCTTCCGCAGAATCAGATGTGGGACTGGGGCCCTCACTTCTGGCAGGGACTTGCTTGTTTGGGGGAGAACCACTTGAGCCAAACGCTTGGGGCTGGTCCTCTTGGCCTCGGGATTTAGGAGGAAATAGGAGGTGTTTAATATTCCTTTTCCTTCCCAGTTTAATCTGGGGCACTGCAGAAATCCGAAAACCAGGCTGGCTGCCAGGGGAGCTGTGGGGACACACCTAGGCTTTCAGAGGTCGGGACATCAATGGTCAGTTCAGCCCCCATAAGGCTGAGCCTCCCTGGGCAAGCAGGTGGGCCTCTCTGAGCATCATGGACCCCTAATCTGCTCCCCGCAGGAAGCGTGGACTGCTCCCATGGAATGCGTTCTTCCACCTCACACCCCCAAATACACTCACCGCATATAGGTACCCAGAAACCATGCAGATGAATGGCAGGCAGGTGTCATGAGAGGAGACCCCAAATCTGATCCCGCCCTGCCACTCACTAGCTGTGTGACCTTACGCACGTGACCTACCCGCTAGCTAGATGGGGGCAGGTACTTCGGGGCACATGGAGCTGCAGCCCCCTCTAAGGCCTGCCTGCGCGTCCTCTTTCATGTTTACTGTATTACATTCTTAGAGAGAGCTCCCCAGTTGTACGACTCTCAGCCCACACACCGAGGCCGCCCCTGCTTCTGGGCCTCCGGGTTCCCCTCTGCACAGTGAAGGGGAACCGTGACAACGTTACAGCTCTCTCAGTGCAGTGCCTGTCTCTGGGCGTCTGGGTGCACAGCGGTAGCCAGGAAGACAGTGAGGCAAGCAGAGGGAAGGCCACCGGCTAGGAGAGGGGTGATGGCAGGAGGGGACGCCCTGAAGGGCCCATGGTGTGGTACCTAAGAATCAGGTGCCAGCCCGAGCACGGGCCTCCCGTGGTGGGTTTTCTCAACGGGCAGGCGGGCGCTGATCTGGGCAGCATACTCGTGGCAGCAGCCTGTGCGGGTGCGGGCCTGTCCCAGATGCCTCCTGAGCTGGGGAGCGCCTCTGTGTGGGCGTGAGGGCAGTGGAGGCCTGGTGGGCTCACATGCGGCCCTCAGCCCAGCCCTGGCAGGAATGCAGGGCCCAGGGCCTCCCGAGCTTCTCCAAGGAGGGCGGGGGCACCAGCCTCGGCCCACGAACAGCACTCGGCAGCCCCATAGCTGGTCCAGAAGGGCCTCACACCACAGCCACTGTCTTGGGCAGAGGGCCCTCCTGGCCACAACAGGGTCACAGCTCTGGGCAGCCATGTGGTGACATCAGAGCCTGGCCCTCTGCTGGGGTGGTGTGAGCGGGGTGGGGAAAAGCAGGGCTGTGTTGTGGTGTTTGGGGACAGCCCCCAGAGCTGAGCTCGAAAAGAACAGGGATGGGGGAGGGGAGGTCGAGGCCCCCGGGGGCGCGGGGCTGGGCACTCACAGAGGTGTTCTGGCACTGCACGCTGGAGCTGTTGAAGCGCAGGGCGGGCACCCTCTGCTCGCTGCCCTGGATGTTGAGGATGCATTCGTACCCGCGCTGCCCGGACTGCGGCTGGGGCAGGTTCTTGGCCTTCAGGGTAATGGGCTTGATCACCTCCACGGGCACCAGGATCTTGTCCACGCGCAGCAGCTGGGGGCACTCCTGGGGACGGAGAGATCGGCGCAGGCTGGGTGGCAGGAAGCCAGAGGTGCTGGGGCCCCTCCAGACGGAGCCCGGACGTTCACTCCACTCCTCCCTCCCGAGAACACACCCACCGAGGGTCCTGGGCACTGGGGCCCACCCCTAGCTGCTGACCAGGCGGGGAAGGGACTGAGAGATCCTGGGTCACTTCTCACTGAGGCTGTCCCTGCCCTCCTCAGGTTCCATTCTAACGCACCCCAGACTTGGACACGCCTGATGGCCTTCTCCGGGTACCCCTCCTGCCCTAACAGAGACAGACGCTGCTGGCTGGGCCTCTTGTCTCGTCTCGCTTTGGGCTGCTGACCCCTTGGCCTCGGCTCCAGGCGGCCAAGGGCTGGGACAGAGGCGACCGTGTGAGCAGACCAGCAGCGAGGCCACGCCCTGGGCTCGGGAATGTGAGTTAGGGGCAGAGCAGGAGGGTCTGGCAGGGCCTCTCCATACGCACATGGGCTGAGTCTGGCATTTGGGAATGTTCTGGAATGGGCCCAGAGACCTCTTTCTTCAATCCAGAAGTTTCTGATTTAACTCCAGGGAAACGCCCCTCGGAGCCGCAGATACACACTGAGCAGATGCTAGCGATGGGGGGCAGGCTCACCCCTGGGGCCGAGCAGGGCCCGGAGGACCTCGGGGGATGGAGAGTGAGAGTCGCTGGGCTCCTCTCCCCCAGGGCAGTCAGCTCTGCCCGTGAGGGCCTGGGAGAGAACGGGGTCAATAAAGAGTGCGGGTGCTCTGCCCCGCTGAGTGGAGGAAGCCGGCTTGTTCCAGGATCTCAGGAGCTGGGCGGAAGAGAGTCAGTATTCTGGGCTGCTTGGCGTGGGCAAGGGTGAGGGTTTCCAAAGACACCAGCAGGGCCTGGGCACCCTGCGCCAGGCAGGCCCACCACCCCCACGTTCCTCTCGCTGTGGCACGTTTGGGGCGCGCTGAGACGGGTGGCATCTGGGCAGGCCGGCTGTTGAGGCCACCGTCTTGGGGCTCACTGAGGGCTCTCTGCAGACGCTGTGGGCCCCCAACCCCAGCATCCTGCCACAGCCAAGTAAGGCGGAAAGGGGGCTGGTGGGGGGGGCAGATTGGGGGGGTGGTGTCCAGGTAGCCAGACAACTCCGCAGCTGTCCCCTGGGTCCCCATGCCAACTCGAGCCCCTCTGTCCCTGACAGCGGGGAGGGAGCAGACCTCTGAGCTCCAGGGCCTGCTGAGCTTCTGCCAAGCTCTGGAACTCCACTCTGAGACCCCATGTCCTCCTCTGTCCTCTGGCTGGAACCCAGGGACCCATTCAGCTCCAACCAGTCCTGACGCCATGACTGGGGGTGCTCTCAGCTCTGCAGCCTTGCTCCAGCGGAGTGAGTGCCCCAGGGCTGTTAAATCAATCCCCCTCCCCTCCTCCAGGCTGCCCACAACATTATCCTGAAGAGCAGGTAGGAGAGAGGCAGCAGATCCCCCGATCACTCTGGGTGCGTAGGCAAGAAAACAGAGAGCGGGGACTCGAACTGGTACACCCATGCTCGGGGCGGCATTATTCACAGCAGCCGAAAGGTGGAAGCAGCCTGACCATCCATTAGTGGATGAGCAGGCAAACGAACTGTGATACATATAATACAATGGAATGTTGTCCCACTTTCAAACGGAAATTTTAACACACACTAGAACATGGAAGAATCTTGCAAACATATGCTAAGTAGAAGAAGCCAGGCACAGCAGGACACATATTACACAATTCCACCCATATGAGGTCCCTCCAGTAGTGTGTGTCATGGACACAGGACGTAGCCTGGTGGTTTCTGGGGGAGGGGGAGACGGAGGGCTCGTGGTTAATGGGGACAGGGTTCAGCTGGGGAAGATGAAAAAGTTCTGGAGATGGGGGGGTGATGGGTGCAGCATAATGTGAGTGTACTTAATGGCACTAAACTGCACACTTATAACTGGCTGAGATGGTAAGTTTTACATGTATAATTTACCACAATTAAAGACAAGCAGCAGGGAGGCAGGCGGCAGGAGGGGAGAAGGGTGAGGGTGGGGCCTGCACCCAAGCGTGGGGCCCTGAGCCTGTGACCGGGTGGGTCTCTGGAGACTTCGAGGCCCACGTGGGAAGAAAGCCTTAGTAGCTCCACCCTGTGCCCCTGCACCCACTGCCGTCTTGCTCCCCACCCACCACATGCACGCACCCCAGCAAGATAAGAGTGCGGGGCACAGAGAAGACAGGGGCAGTTCTGCGGACAGGATGGTGGGCAGGACTGAAGCGAGGAGGGTACGCGGTGTTGGAGAATCGGGAGAGAAGGTCTATGGGAAGCAGGGAGTCCTGAGCCGAGGGCCCCTGTTCGCTGCATAGCCCTGGGCAGCCCTCCTCCCCAGAGCAAGCACAGGCCTGACCCTCCTCCCGCTACGTCCACACCCTGGGTCTACGGCTGCGTCCGGAGTGGGAGCGGAAGGGCTGGACTCCCACCCCCACGTCCCACAGCGAAATGTCGCTGCGTGAACGCTACTCGGAGGGTGTCTAGAATCTGACAGTCTTCTGAACCAACCTAATGGGCCCCCTCTGCTTTGCAAAGGAGACACTGAGGCAGGGACAGGAAAAATAATAGCTCACCATCAGCAAGATGTGCTGGCAGCTGAAGGCCTCAGATGCCGATCCACCATCTCTCTCTCCTCCTCCCCTTAAGGAAGGTGGTCGGTCCCTCCTGGTGGCCGAGACCACCAAGGGTCAGCAAGTATCTCCCCAAGACCAGCAGGACTAGGGAGCTTGGAGGTGGCCTGGAACCTCGCCTGGAGGTCGGACTGGTTCTAGTCCAGGACGGAAGCTGAAGCATAAGCCTCCGTCCCTCTCCCCTGCAGGATTCTCTCTCACTGAGGCTTGCTCTGGGCTCTCTAATGAGTCCTGATTGCCAGTGGCCCCATAAAGCCTTCGTTTGCATATAAAAAGGCTGGCAGCCCTGAGAGTAAGTTCATTAATAATAATTGGAGAGGCCCAGGGCTGGGCTGGGCCCATTTTCCTCTGGTGGTACTGCTGATTGACCTGGTATCCCTCCTAATTGAAATGTAAAATGGCAATTTCTTCCCAGGCAACAAGGCATGAAGGGACCATCGCCACCAATCTGCCCTGTTCTCCCACTCCAGCTCCCCACACCCTGACCCGTGCCATGCCGAGCCCCTGGTACAAACCACCCCGACGGCTCAGGCTCCTGGGCAAGTTTGGAGAAGCCACTGCGCCTCTCCACACCCGCGTCTGCAGCCTGTTTGAGCGCCCCCGCCTGCCGCGGGGGTCTGGGAGCCCAGGTCCTCCCCACCACCCGGTCCTCACCTTTGAGCTTCCCTAACTAGAAGGAACCTAGCTGGGGAGTCCTGTAACTCTGAGTGCCAGTCTGTCTCCCTCCTGCTATTCTCAGAGCCTTGCAAGAGCTGTAATCGTTGCTCGACTTAACTAGGCACCGGGATTAACAACTCCTCTTCCCAAGGGCGTTTGGGGAATTCCACATATGACGCCTCTGGCGCAGCGCGAGCGAGCAGTCAACAAATGTTTGCTCTTTCCTGGTCTTTCCTCCTCAGCTCAGGCTGCGCCTGGGCCCTCATCAACTCTCGTTTCCTCCGTTTCCAAAGGGTCCATCTCCCCCACGCCAGCCACGTGTTTTTCCACGCACACCCCGCCCGTCCCCCCGTGATCCCGCTGACCCACCCTTCTTGGCTTCAGAGCTTGTGTGGAGTCTGACCATTTCAATGGCTCCGAGGGCCTCAGACACAACAGGGGACAAGTGGGGATGTCCCAGTTCTGCCCACTGCCCTCCTGAAAGCATTCCCCTCTTCCGGGAGGTGACATGTTCCCTATGCTCTGAGACAGGACCCGCACCAGCCAACCACGTGGCCTCGGGCAAGTCCCTCAAACCCTCTGGAGCTGTTTGGATTAGGGGATTCTTATGGTCCCAGTTCTATTACTATGAACCCCGTAGATGATGTGGGACAGTCATTGTATGACCTTTGTGAAGGTCAGTTTCCCCATCTGTAAAATGGGAGAACCACACCTGCTGAATTAGCTTGAGGTGTGGTGTTCAAAGCACAGGCCAACTTAAGGCATGCAGGAGGGGCCGGGGGCTTGCGCGGGAGGCGGGCCTCCTGGAAGCGGCTATTTAACCTCCCAGGTAAGTATTACAGTAACTAGTACAATGCAACCGGTACCATCACACACGCAGGTGTGGTCCTGACAGGGTGTGATGCCGTCACGATTCCAGTGAACACAGCTGGCATGGTACATGGGGTACAAGGATTCGATCCAGTGCACATGCCGCCACCTCCGTCCCCTCGACACGTGTTTTTCCATGTGCTCTCTTGTCTCCTAGCACCACACGTACGATCACCCACGCTCATGAGAAAGAAACCAGGGACACCAGTTACTCCACTCTGTTCCCACAGTGGCAATGAACAAAAATACTCACATCTGATCATCTGAATTTCAATCTAGATGTTTATCTAGCCCCCACGTGGAATTCCTCAAAAACATACTTCCCTTCTCTTTTCAAGAAAGATCTTCCTCTGGACTATCATCTGAACGGGCCAGCCCTTGGAGAGTGGAAAGTGCCTGCATCGAGCCAGATGATTTGGAGACAAACACACACAGCGAGAAACAGACTCCCTTGCAGGCTGTTTTGCCTGTGGCCACATCCTGCTGTCATGAGAAGGGACTGAGGGTGGGGAGTGGCAGTGGCTTGAGGCACAAGGAAATCTTCACTGTCTTGGCTGGCAGGAGGTAGCTCCAGGGGGCCCCAGTTCACCTGTCCAGCCCGTGCACATTTTGGTCCCCACGTACATGCACACAGAAGTGAAGACTGCACTGCTAATTAAGAACAAGCACCAAGCCTACGTATGAAAGCAAAAAGGATGCTTCTCTGTCTACCATGTCCAGTGTGTCAGTGGCTGCTTGATACCGAGGTTGCGTCGAGCATTTAAATAATTGAACGAGGACACAAAGACGGCCGCTGAGCTGGGTCAGGGCTGGTGCTGCCTGGGGAGGGGGTGGCAGGCCTCCAGATTTACAGGCCCCCACCCCCACCACGTGGTTACAAGGTTCCGGCTCTAACTCTCCTAGTCGTTCCAGCAGGGTCGGGAGACAGCGGCGCCCTGGCGGGGTCGGGGGAGCTGAGCTGGGGCAGCATCCAGGGGCAGCTAAGGAATAAGTGATTTGCAGGTCACCTTCCCCTTCCATGTCACCTCAGCCCCCATCAATTCTAGAGACTAGCCGGCGCTAGCCCCAACCAACCCCCCAAATTTACGCTCACCTGCTCAGACCCATGGCGCCCAATACGAAAATGTAACGCACCATATATTTTCTTGCTGTTCCTCAAGTTTATAATGCCATTAGCGTGATCTACGAGGGGCTGGTTCATGGAGAGAGCAAAGTAATAATACAGAAAGGAAATACCCATAACCTTAAGGGGGGAGGGGCAGACGAGATTGATGGAAAGTGCAATTGTCTGGAGAAATGGCAACCCAGTAATGGAATAACTGGAGTGGGGGCCGCACACGGGTTGGAAGCAAGTTCTTTAGCTGCGTTTGGCTTTGTTTTTCTCCAAGGAGGGTAGAGGGCATGGCTCTGGGGGTTTGTTCCCTTGGGTGGGGTCCCAGGAAAGGCTCCTCTGCAAGAAGGGACACGATGGGCTGGCCTGATTGCCCTGGAGCCCAGCTGGGAGGTGAGCACACTCGGCTGGCCCTGTCACGGGGCAGGGGGCTTGTTCCAGCCCCCGGGGGCCCGCTGCAGCCCAGGGTGGGCACCTTCCTCGCCTTGTCGGCTCTGCAGTCCCAGAGAGGACCACCCTTGGGGCCAGCAGACGCCATGGTATCTGCTCTGGCTGCGGATGGTGTCTCAGGGGTGGCGGCGGTACGGAAGTTTGGGGGAGCACTTCAAGCACAGCTTTGGAAATCAAATAGAATTCATTTGGCCTCTTCTGATCTTACAACTGCTCTCTGGAGCAAATTCTGCTTGAACTTCAAGAAACGAGAGGCCGCGGGAACCTCCTCGCTCAGCCCGCGCCCCGTGGGCCAGATATGCTTTGCCTTCCCAGCAAAGACCATCCGCCCGGCGCCCCGAGAACAGAGCCGCAGCCGCAGCTCCCTCTGCTTTTCAATTTAGATGAACACGACAGTAAAATTGCCCGTCGCAGACATGCGTTTTTGTCAACGGCTTTGCTTTTCCATGGGTGTTTGCCTTTGTTTCCTAAAGGTCACTGTTCCTAGGGGTGCGGGCCTGATGGGGTGTGCAGGTCAGAAGGGGGAAGACCCGGGAGTTCCAAAGCCACTTGGGGCCCAGCGGTGCCTCCCGCTCGGCAGAGGTGAGCGCATGGCCCTGCTCACGGTTGCCCGGGTGAGAGGCCACGCCGTGGGAGGCCAGGGGTTTTGGAGGATGCTGGGAGAACAGGGCTGAGAGCAGGGCGATCCTCTGCCCCACTTCAGTGTTCCCTCCCCTTCCGCTCCCTCCTCTCTTGGGTACCCAGGGTCTGGCAGCTGATCTAAAGGCCCAGGGTTGCTATCACAATGCCCTCATTAGTTTGAAACAAAATCATTCCTTGTAACTGTAATACAGTTACCATAAACGACATATGTTCCTGGGCATTCTATTCCTAATCATAGTGATTATGCTAGAATACACGCCATTAATATAGTAACAACAATGATTGACCGGTTCTCTGTTCCAGACCCATAACTTCACCTGAATGCACTCTTTGTTCAGGGGGGTGGAAAAAAGGTGATTCAACATCCCTGGAGACAGTCAACAAAGCCGGCGCTGAGGCTGGAAGACGCACGGATGAAAGCCGTCCTGGGGTCCGAGCGGGCGCTGGGCAGATGAAAAAGCCACCTGGCAGCATCCCTCCGGACCAACAAAGGGACCCTGTCTGTATCCCCACACTCAAAAGTTAAAAGGAAATGAAAGCCCAGGGCCTTCCAGAAGAATCACTGGGCGTGGGTCGCACTTTCACTCCGAGAGAGGAGGTCGGCCCTTGGGTGTCCAGGGGAGCCGCAGGCCTGAGGCCGAGCGGGTCCCTCCCTGTGGGCTGGCGCGGGGACCTGCTCCTCGACAGGAACGCTCACCCGGGAAGGCCACTTTGGGGGCATGGGTTTCTCTGCGATGCTTTCCAGCTCATTTCCATCTGCGATTGCAGATCATGTAGATCTCTTGTCTACGCCTAATTCACTCAGAATTCCTTGCACATGGGGACTGCAGGGGGCTGGGTAACGAAGGGCGGGTGGCCACACCTAGCAAGGGTGCAGAGTACCCTGCTGTGAGTAAGCTCCTCCCCCCGGGTGGAGAAGGGACACTTGTCTCGGGGCTTCTGCAAAATTGCCTTTCAAACATGCAGTTTCCTTTGCTACCCCTTACTCCTGCTACTATCTCTTCCCAGAAACAAAATGATAACACAACAAAAGAACACCATAAGAAAAATTCACCGTATTTCATGAGTAGCCTGGTATTTCTTTCAAACCCTGAGGACTGTAAGCTCCTTCTACTGACCCGAACTGGCAGGGTCAGTTGAAAGCCCACAAAATGTACTCACTTCTTTTCCCTTCGGTACGTTCTCCAGCCAGAGGCTGCTACCAGGACCATCACGAGGAGTTCAGCGCTGGCTTCTCCTCTTTGTTATGTTCCAAACGGTCCTAGCATTGAGCTGGACAAACGGTAGCCTGCAAGCCTGGACCAGAAGCATAGCCCTAAAACATCCTTCTCTTAGAATGAATAAGTATTCAGGAAAGAGAGGAGCCAAAGTCAATTTCATTCAATAATGGGATAAGCGATCGTGATGCCAAGTTATGCTGGAGCCTCACTCTCACTGCAAAGGCCTGCCAGGCTCACCGTGAAACAGCTCACGTGAAATGGAAAGAATTAACGGTCAGCCACATCTGGTGGGTTAGACCATCTCCACATCCCTCCCTTGGCCATGGGCCTCCAGGCCTCTCCCTCTCCCAGAGGGCCGGGCACCAAGTGCTCTGAGGTGCTGTGAGTCCCCAGAAGCCTTTGCCAGCGTCAGGCACAGACAGATGGGGCGCTGTGCCCGATCTGCAGTCCGGGCCCTTGAAGACACCATTCTTCCATCCTCCTTCCACAGGGATCCCTGCATGGCACTGGAAGATGTGGTGGGCTCCTGTTTTATTCTCTTCTAGTTCCTTTTTTCCTCTTTCTGAAGAGCAGATGCAAGTTTCTTTTATATATTTAAAAGACAGAAACTTGGGACAAGAGCAGGAAACAAGAAAGCAGAAGCAGAGATTTGAAAACCTCCTTCAGGGTAATTAAATGATCAGGGGCCTTTGAATTCCGCTAGAGAGCTCAACTGTTCCTGCTTTTGTTTTATTCCCAGGCCTCTCCACACACGAAACCTCCGCCAGATACCCCAGTCCGGGAAGCTGCTGGGAGGCTGCAAACCTCTTTGTCTCTGCTCTCATGGAGTGACGTGCAGCTTTCTGCATGAATAAGAAGACATCACTTCCTAGGCCCCCCAGCCCCTGGTCCTAGCGGGTGAACCAGGCCTTCTGCTCCTGACCCCACGCCCCAGGATAAAGGCCTGGGATCCAGGAGACTGTCTGGCCTTTCCTCAGGTCTTCACGCCAAGGGCGTGCCCTCTGGCTGTCAGACCCTGTCTGTCCTATGAGCTTAGATCTGTTTTGTCTCACAGAAGAGCAGAGGATTGAAACAAACATTAGATTCACACTCCTGCTTAAAGCCAAGATGTAACCTCTTTCCCCCTTTTCCCTGTTGAGGGGCAGTCTTAGTCTGGGTCTCTTTTCTGGATTATGAATCCAGAGCAGCATTTCCAGCCACAGACAGATCCTGCAGTCCCGGTTGGGGCGGGGTAGGGGGGTGGGGCTTATGTCCACACCCCCTTCTGTGCATGTGTTTGAAATCACAGCATTCTAAAGCAACCACTGCTGAGAACTACTGACCCAGCGCCGGGAGTCACACGAGCACCATACGTGTGAACGACGGTAGACTTTTTTCCCAAGTGTTTTTGTGCCAGTTGACTTTCAGGGCCTTGCTCACAAACTTACATTCTCAGAAAGGTAACAACACAGGCGAAGAGTATCTCTGTTATGATGATGGATAGTTCTCAAGGATAAGAATAACAACTAGGAGGGAACAGAAACACAGTAGCTTAGCCACGCAGCCCAGCCCCATGTCAGGGAATCCCAGACTGCAGACTGGACGGCGCGGCAGAGGCGCAGAGGACCATGCCCTCCCCGTACGCTCTCGCCCAGAGACTGGGGCGGAGCCGGAGACTGTGTACACCCAACAGCATCGCAGGTGACGCTGGTGTCGCTGGTCCGGCAACCACACTTTGGGAACCACTGCTCTGGCTAAGGTGAGCACTTTTTCATCCCTCTTCCTCTCTTCCTTTTACTTAATTTAAAAAAAACCTCAGTTCTGCTCTGCACACAGAGGTCTGAGGGACAACTGAGGAGTCTGCACACAGCACTCTTGGGTGCTGACAATTATTTCTCGGACACACACATACTCATCCCTCTGGAATTGTTCTAGAACTCACCCGCCTGGAGTGATCTGAGATGCACCTTCATCTGGAGCCGAGCCTCTAGGACAGACCCAGAGCCCCCGGTCCCTGCACAGAGCTCTGTGTGTTTATGGCATTCACAATGTAGTCCCGTAAGAGGAGGCCTTGGGGAGAAGCCGGCGATCCCGCAGGCGTCGCCCTGGTGTTTTCTTCCCCGGGGAGGACCTGCCCGTGCGGCCCACGCTCACAGCAGGCAGCACTCACCACTCTGGCGTCGGGGGCCTACCTCAGGCAGCTTCACTTGGCCTTCCAGGAAGGAGCACGTCTTCGGGTCGTGGGTGCAGACGTGCCGGTATTTGCACCAGTAGCAGCCAAAAGGGCTCTCCATGCAAGACAGGCACCTGGGCACAGGGAGGACGAAGCATGAATCAGGGACCCCGGGGGAGCCCAAAGCAGAGGGCCGAGACTCTGGGGCCTAGGGAAACATGTTTTAACAGTAAGAGAAACCACCCTCAAGCACCTAGGAAGAGCAAACCTCATCCAAAGCCATTCCTTTTCCCTTCAAGTCCTCGGCCAGCCCAGACTCTCTGGCCTCCTCCCTCTCGTGCAGCCAGTTGATACATCTGGTCCCCAAGGCCTTCAGCAGCCACTATCCACTTCCACAGGGTGGTGCCCTCTTTGGCTGAATTGGGGAATAATCAGGCCTAGAGTAGTGGGGCTTGTCCAGAGAGCCCACGAGATTTAGGGCAAATAATTGAGCTTTAGTTCAAATTGACTCCAGGGCTTCGGCTGACATTCTCCCACAGGGACCCACTGTGGCAGGAGGTTCTGAGGCTGCCCTCCCAGTGGGTTGACAACCTCACCTCTGTACCTCACCCCCAGGAAACGAAGGCAACTTTACAAAAGTTCCTCCCCGCTTACAAACCCAGCAGGGTTCCCTCTTCCAAACAGTAAACCCCCTTCCTGGTTGCCCGGTCCATGTCCCCACGTGTGTCAGGTCCTTCTACCTGGAGCAGCATTTTCCCTTCCTCCAGGTGGCCATCTCCCCCTTTTTTGACCAATGGAGCATGGGCCAGATGGCCCTTATGTCACCAACCCCTTTGTTTATGTCTCTGGGACAGTACTGGCATTGTTGTATTCTTTTTTTTTTTTACTAACTTTTTTTAAAGATTTTATTTATTTATTTTTAGAGAGGGAAGGGAGGGAGAAAGCGAGAGAGAGAAAGAAACATCAATGTTCGGTTGCTGGGGGCCGTGGCCTGCAACCCAGGCATGTGCCCTCTCTGGGAATTGAATCTGTGACACTTTGGTTCACAGCCCGCGCTCAATCCACTGAGCTACGCCAGCCAGGCGTTGTTATATTCTGTTTCTCTTGTTCACTGTCCTTTCATCCACTAGTCCACTAGGTGTGGCTCCTGGAGGGCAGGATTGATCACTGATTTGTGCTTACCCGTCTAATGAGTAACACATTGCCTTGCACTTAGTACATGCTTACACCATGTCAGGGATGGAATGGAAAGTTCACACGTGATTTTATCTACTACTCGCTTTCTTGCAGGGGCGACAGGGGAGTGAGGGATGAGGCCACCAAGTGCTAGAGCCACGGGGAGTTCTGTGGCAAGACTCGGAGAGAGAATTCCAGCGTTGAAACGCCTGTGTTTGGCTGGGAGGGCTGGCTGCCTCTTCCTGGGGGCCCCAGAGAGAGCCAAGCGCTGCACTCATAGCTCCTGTAACCAGATAGCCAAGTCCTAAAATCCCTCCTGCTCAGAATGTCTCTGGTTATATGTTTTTCTGTGTGGACAGGAAAACAGAACAGCGTATAAAAGCCAGCAGGGTTTTTGGAGATCAGGTCCTATGGTTTTCAAACTGTGCTGTACGGAACCCTGGGGGGTTCCCAGGAGCTTCTTGGGAGACTGTGTGAGGAGGCAGAGATGTAGAGTTCTTAGACAGAGGGGTTCCAGGCCCCTCAGCACTCAATCAGAGTAGTTCCCACTTCCCTCTGTTATGTTTATTGGGCTTCCGCACCTGATTTTGATTGGAGAAAGGTATCTATGGTGAAAAAACTGGCTTGTACATTTTTCACTCTGGTCCAATTCCATCATTTTAGAGCGGAAATGATAATGTAATAACAGCAAGAATGTGAGCGGTGCCCAAACCGAGGGCCAGACACGGCTCTGACTGCTCTCCCAGTCACCGCTCTCCAACCCTGGCCGCTGTCCTGAGGGCTCAGCAGGGCTGATGGGTGGGGGCAGCAACCAGCGGTGTCCCAGCCAGTGACTGCTCTGCTGGGACAGCGCCCTTGCTGTGTCAGCTGCTAAATATTTGGGTGACATCCCCAGGAGAAGAACTACTACTTCCCCATTCACAGAGGACATGGGGCACAGATGGTTATGTTTCCAGCTGGTCTGACTCCAGAGTGCAAGCCTCCATCCTCCTACCTTCCCTTGGGAAGTAGAAGCTTTGCTGCAATGGGGCCAGAGCCTGAGCCCCGGGCCTGCTCCTCTCCCACCTGCCCCAGCACAAGTCCTGACCCAGGCCGCAGGGCGGAGCCGAGCCCTCAGGGGCTGGTTGCACAGCCTGCCCTCCTCAGACCCCTCCTCTCACCCCGGTGCTGACTGCTCCATTCTTCAGGTGAGACGTGCCCCCTCCTCAACAGGTGGTGGGCAGTGCATCAGGTTGGACAGACTCATGCCAGAGAAAAGGTGTGGGCCAGGGATTTGGAGCTCCCTACCCCACAGGGTCTCCTGCTGCCCATTCTAGCCTCTGTCCATTAACCCCGAGGGTGCCAGAGGAGGGGCCCATCTGCTTCCGGGTGAAGGGGGTCTCCTTGCAGGGGCCTCCTTGCAGATGGTAATTCCTTGCAAATGGTGGCGGGTTCTTCTCTCTCCAGGTGACTTGACCCCAGGAACAGGGAGCTGAGCAAGGTTGGGGGCACTTACGAGTTGTGGACACTGCAGTTGTAGAAGACAAAGCTGGTGCTGGCAAAGGTCATGCCCGTCTCCTTGGACTTGAGCTGCAACTGGACGACATGGTGGTCCCCTATGGGGCAGAGCGGGCCACGAGGTCAGGGGCAGGGCAAGGCCCCATGTCAGGGTCCCGCGGAGAGTTATGCCCCCTGGGAAGGGGAAGCCTGCTGGACCTAGAGAGGGGGTGCTCGTGGCTCTCACAGGTCCCTGATGCAGCCCACCCAGTCCCAGGGCAGCCCCAAGAGCAGCTGCAAATGACGATTCCGGCCTCCTCCTCCTCCCACAGTGCGCACCCACCCTCATGTGGTCATCAGGTCCTAAATTTACACACACACACACACACACACACACACACACCCTGACAAGTATTGAACTGTGCATTCACTCACCTGCACCATATCCATGCCAGGCTCACAGCACTACAAACACATTGATTAGCTACCAGGAGAAACAGGCCTCTCTCACTAACACTGCCACAAACTACACAAGAGGTTTTGTGCCTGCGTGTGTGTGCAGACGCGAGTATTCACATCTCTGTAAGGAGAGCCCCTGCTCTGACGCCCCGGCTTGGGTGGGCTCAGGGGTCCACTTGGGCAGGTGTCCCCAGAATCCTCAGCTGGCGCCAGGGAGGAGCAGGAGCCCATGTTTAATTCACAGCTCTGACCCCAGGCCCCCACTTCCAGCCTGGTTCTGGGCCTTCCCCGAGAGCCTCATTAATCAGTCAGCTTGAAACAAATGTGACAAGCCCAAATGGGAGGGCCAACCTGGCATCCATCTGCCCAGGCTGGGTCTGTCCCTCACCAGCATTGGGCCTCTGTCCACCCCTGGCCCTCCCAGTGCAGCTGGCCATGGACAGGCAGCTCTGGGAAGGCAGGGCTGGGGGTGGGGCTGGGGGTGCCCTGGTCCAGGGTCAGAGACCCAGCAGAGCGGGTGGGGGTAAGGAGCCAGATGACTCCCCCACCCCACCCCCTCCTCCTTTGCCCCTCCGTGACAGCCCCTCACATTCCAGTACAACCCTGAACTTGACCGGCACATTCGGATGCTGTCCTGGCCTTGCCCTCTATCCACCCTCTGCAGCTGCTCCTCACCTAGCACGAGCCTGACTCTTGGATGCTCACCTAGTCTCAGTAGTCCATTCCAAGAGCAGCAAAATGCACCTCGTCTCCCTCTTCCTACAACATCCCCACCAGCCCACACCCCTTCCTCTGACCCTTCCCTCCTGAAGGCTCCCTCGATCCCCCTACATCCGTCCTGAGTGTCTGTCCCGAGTTCTCATCCAGGCAGGAGGACAGCCCTGCCACCCAGCTCTGCCTCTGGGGGCCTCTCACCGTTCTCTGTGATTATCTGGGGCACCTCCTTGGCCGCCGGGGAGTAGCACTGGATCTGATTGCCCACCACCAGCCCATCCATCTCTGACAGGTCCTCGAAGGCACAGTTGACGCCAGCTGACAGCTCCGGGACGTTGTGTGTCTCCAGGACCAGCTGTGAGCAGTCCGGCAGAGGAAGAAAGGGGAGAACGAAACGGGATAAAGGAGGAAAGGGAGAGAGCAACAGAGACCAGAGAGAAAAAAAGAAAGGAAAAACACAAGGCGATATTGGTATAGAGATGAACTGATGCAATTCATCACAAGAGCATCCAGAGAGCGCGGTGGAATGTAGAGAGACAAGGACGACAAGAACCCCATTACCTGTGGATGGACTTGGCCCCAGGAAACGGAATGTGTGGGGAATTTGGGTCTTGTAAGAAAAGTGGGTGGGACTGAGGTACCACTGATCACGCTCCGTTTCCATTGTCCCAATTTTGGAAAAATGGCGACACCCACCACTAAGTGCCCAGTGGGAGAACGTGGGAGCCGTCTTAGCCCTGTCTCCCTCTGTGCAGACACCTTTCCCGTCTTACAGAAGAAGCGGCTGCTCCCCAAGCCCTCCCTCTCCGGGTCACCCTTTGGATCATTTTTGGTGTCCCAGTTTGCCCTGTCTTTCTACCCATTATGCATAGTGCCTCTCCCCCCACACTCCTGTGCATGACCCCCTCTTCCATCCCAGGGACACCTTCTTTAGCAGTCCTGCTCTCCAACTGCTTTGCTGGCCGGGTTAGGCCCAGCCCTCGCTAGGGAGCACTGGGCTGCAGCCCTGTTTGGTGGGTAGAGGGTTGTTGCCTGGCCCCTGGCCTCCCTGCCCTTACCAGGACATTGTACTGAGAAACAGAGATGTTGCTGGGATGCACGGTCAGCCGGACACACTGCTTCATCTCAGAGGCAAACCTGTGCGGCTCCCTGGACCGCTCGCAGCGCTCCTTCCGGGTGCACCTGGTGGGAGAGACCAACGAGGGACTGAGGGGAAGGTGAATGGTCCAGGGTGGGGCGGACACAGAGGTTAGTCATCGCCAGTGGCTCCGGGGACGTGTCCAAACTCAACATGCCCAGAACTGACCTTTTGGCTCCTTCCTCCAGCCTGGTCCTCCCACATCGGGCCCGCATTTGAAAAAGATGGAATTCCCATGACAGGTTGCCAAATGCGGACACTTGAGAGTCATCCTAAAGTCCCCTCCCCTCCTCCTCATTCACACAGAGTCCCAAAGTCCTGTCTATTCCCCCTCCCCACTCGTCCTTGGCCCTTGTCATTCTCGCCACTCTGAAGGCAGACTGAGGCTTGTTCTTTCCACACACACAGAATGCTCTCTCAGACTTCCTTGTCTTTGTGTGTGTCAGTTCGTCGGTCCGGGCAGCCCTCTCCCCAGTTTTTCCCTGTCCAGCGTCTGTCAGCCCTTCCAGACATGGTTCAACTATTATACACCTACCATACCCCGCCGATCCTCACACCAGGCCAAGGTAAAAGCACTTGGCGTTTCCTACAGTCTAGAACTTCTTCGATTATATGACAATGATTGGGCCAAGTGCAGCCCTCGCCAGGCAAGTGTGAGCTGCTCAAAAGGAGAAACCATGCTGGACTCATTTGGGGATCCCCTTGTAATCCTCCTGTCCCGCTGACCGAAGAGAAGTGCAGGTGGATGGGAGGGAGAGAAGGAGGGAGCAAAGGAGCAGAGTGCACCCATTCAAACTGAGCTCAGGAGCCAGACCGCCTTGAATTGAAACCCCAACCCCACAGCACAGGGTAACTGCTGCAGAGGGTTTGCTGTGATTGCTTAGTGTCCTGTACTCTTCAAAGCGCACCGTATCACAGGTGGACCACAGCCAGGGTGACCTGGGATCTCACACTCTCGACTAGTGGGAGCTTGTGAACAACGCACATAAAAACCGTGGCCCTCACCCCATTGCACACATCCCACGTGGGGAAGGTGCTGTAAGTCCTCTGCTGGGGTCAGGGCCGTCCCTGCCTTGCCGTGGGAGTTCCCTGCAGGGAGGTGTCCCAGCTTCAGGGCACAGCCTTTAATCCAAGTGAGACAAGCCTTGTGAACACTTTGCCAAGTGGCCGGGATTTGGAACGTCAGGACTAGTGATTCTGCTATGGGATGGGGAAAAGCAGGAACAAGGCGAGATAAAGTGGAACTTCGGGATCATCACTCCTGGGTGGCTGGCCTCCTTGGGTGAGAGTAGACTCCACAGAGGAAGGGGGACATCAGGGGCTGCTGCAGGGCAGGAGGGAGCACTGGGCAAGGAGTTCAGTAAGAAAGGAAACATCCAGGGATGTGGAACCCACGACGTGGGCAAGGGGATGCTGAGGAGAGAGCGCCTGCCTCAACAGGCAGACGGGGGAGGCGTGAGACAGGGAGGAGAGGCGCCTGCACACCTGAGCTGCTCTTGGGGTGACGCTCAGACCCACAGGAAAGATGTGGGTGACCTCCCTGGATGTTTGGGGGAGGAAGACACCTTGGGCCTCCGTGGGAAGAAGGGCCTAGCAGTGAGGAATCTGAGAGGTGAATTAGCAAACAAAGGAGAAATCACTGAGCGGGGTGGACTAGAGAAAGGAAGGGGAGATACAGGGACACAGGAAGGGCCTTAGAATAGATTGGATGTGCACTGAGGAAGTGAGAAACAATTCTGAATAATACAGTCATGGCTAGAAGTCACCGAGTGCTTATTAGGCACCGTGGTAAGGGGCGTACCGTTTATGTCACTCATGTCCCTTAACAATGCTGCGATGTAGGTACCATTTTAAACCCCACTGTATAGATCAGCTAACCGTCACCAGCTAAACCAGAGATTCCGCGTGTGAACACAAATGAACTCTCGAGCCTGCAGCATTAACCACCATGCTCGACCTCCCTGATGATTCTAGACTAAGAACCGAGGGACAGACCCCTTGCCACACACAAAACCCACCTTCCCTGCCATCTTGGTGTTCCTTCATGTGCTCTGGGCAATAGAAAATTTCCCTTCAATCTTCTCTAGACTAATCGCTAAGTCGCCTGCCATGAAGAAGCAGCAGTTGAATGTTGTAGTGACTTGCAGATTCTCCAGGACTTTCTAGGACTCCCATCCCCCAGAGGGGAAGGTCAGATGTGAGCGTGGTTGTCTCCATGGTACTCCCCGGCTGCTCCAGCAGACCCATGGCAACCAGGGCGTTTGCCTAAAAGTCTCAGGAAGTTAATTTACCAGGCTAGCTTCTCTGGGAGGACTTCATTACCTACAGCCATTAAGCTAATGTTATGGACTTTTCCAGGGTGTCGGCACTGACATCACTATTAATAGTGTTATTACTCCCATTAACGGCAGACTCCGAGAGCTGGTACAGGCTTAAATTATTCACTGATTTCCCAACTTTGAAGTTCCTCTTTCCAAAAGCAATCAGTAGGTCTGAAAAAATGTCTTTAGCTAAATTATGAAGTGAGAAAAATGAAGTGGCTTTTAGGCCAGACAACACCTGAACTTCACCAAATAGCGATTTGTATCTCTCTTCTGGGGGTACAAAGGGACCTGGTTGAGGGATCTCAAGACAAGTTCTACCTGCACGGCTTGCTGCTCCCCAAGTTCATGTGGCTGCACCCTGCCATGCTACTGAGACGCCCAAGCTAACTACTTATCAGCTCCTCCAGGTTTGGGTCTCACCACCTAACTGTGTGATCTTGAGTCAATAACTTAACCTCTTGGTGCCTCAGTTTTCTCATCTGTAAAATGGGGACAAAATAGTATCTACCTAATAGGGTTATTAAGAGGATTAAAAGATTATGCTAGTAAAGTATTTAGAACAGGGCGTAGCTCACATATAATAAGCCCTCAGTAAATGTTAGTTATTATTATCCCATCTCTTCTCATCCTCCCTCATCCAGCCCTGCCAAGCTGCAGCTGAGGCAGATGCACCGACCTTCTTCCCGACTGGCCCATGGGGCGAATCAAAGACAAAGAGACAGGGGATGGCTACAGCAATTTCCCTCTTAATGAAGGAGAAGGGGCCCCAGAGGTCAGCAGGGAGAACAGGAAGAAGAGGGGTCTGGGCTGTAGCTCTGCCTTCTTGCTAGCTGTCACAGGATATTGAGAACTCAGCTTTTAGTGGAAAGTCAAGTTGAAGGTCAGTGCCGGGGATGCTTTGACATTTCTACTGTCCCTCAGTGCCCAGGAGGGTAGAGGCTGCAAATGTCCGAGCACAGACAATTGACCTCAGATGTGGTAGGAAAATGGAGGGGAAAGAATGCATTTCTTCTGAATTCCTGTGGGGTCTGTCCGGGTAATGGCTTCTGCTTTTCTAGGACTGTGCTTTCTCACTGGCCCAGGCAAGAGCTAGGAAATGTGTCGAGGGTTCATTCATGACTCTCAGGGCCAGCTCAGATGTCACCTTCAGCAGGGCTCCAGGGACTTCCTAGGCATTCCCTTCAGTTCCGAGGGGGGAGCACCAGGAAGGTCCAGGAAGATCCCGATCCAACCATCTTCCAGGCATGACTCAAAAAACGTCACAAGGTACAAAAAGTGCATGCTACATATGACCTGGAGTTTTCAGACATTCATCTCTGCTGCTACGATCGCCACGCCACCCCAAACAAAGGCCCACGGATGGCCAGCACGGAGCCCAAGATAACACCCCGGGCCCCTAGAAATGGAGTCTGGCCCTGCTGATCTTTTCTTCCTTCCCTTCCTCAGTCCACTTCCTCTGTAATTCATCCCTCCAGCCTCAGTTCAGAGGTGCCACAAGCCTTTGGGGACAATGACCCTGGTGCCTTAGAGGGGTTATTATTCAAGTCAGTGGTTCCAATGAGATTATCCTCTCTAATGAAGCAGCTACCTCTGCCCTCCCCTAAGCCCGGACTTTCACTGATGGGGAATTCCCAGCCAAGTGGAAAATTAGAAGGGAGAGGAAGGCAGAGAGGAAAAGGGTGAGGGAGAGGGGACGAGGTAGTGATTAAGGTCTCTAGAAAGTAATTCCTAAACACAGGGATAGAAATATTCAGTCCCCATGCAGCCAGCCAGGCAGCTAAATTTCAATTTGAAAAAGCAGCTAGGTGTGAGTCCGGCCTGGGCCAGCCCCCAAACCGGGGCATGTCGCTGGTCCCCGCCCCCAGCCCTCTGGCGTGGGGCCACCGGTCTGAAGGACCAGAACCTGCTCCTGGCTTCTCCCCATAGGTGGCCCCTGAACCTGGACATTTCACTTTGGCCGTGGCCTGTGCTGAACATGAACCATCAAGGAGTCCATGGTTAGAACATGAGGAGTCTGGAATATGTGGGGTGAGAGTGGAGCTTCCTGAGTGGGGTTTGTAGAAAATTAGGAGGACTCAGAATATTTACCCAAGTTGGACAGCCCTTTGGTCATTATCTCTACATCTGGGAACTCTGACAAGGAAGGAGACCAGGTTTCCTAATGTCACTGTCCTTGGCCGCACCAGCAACTCCCACAGAAAGGGGGAGGCGCACCTGCATGCTCACAGGAAGGCGGACTGGATGGCACAGGGAAGCTCTCTAGGCTGCTGGGTGTGTAGGAGGCTCCTTACATCACGGGTGTGGACCGGGGAGTCTTTTCAATGTCGCAATTCCAGCACCCCATGACTGACACCATGGTCTCAACCTACGTATTTCATTTGTTCCTGGATAAACCCCAAAACTCGAAGACCACAATGAGACTATGATTTTCCCTGTATCATCAGCTGCTGGCCACTGACCTCACTGCCATGTGAACTTCCCTAAAGATCCCAAGACAAGGAGCAGCAGATGTTGGGTTCACTGTACCTTTGGGCCCGTTTGGTGGGTGCGGCCACCAAAGCAGGAGGAGGGGGCACCGGGCTCAACGGCAATCGGCAGGTGCAGGAGCTCAGCGGAGGCCCAAGAAGAACCTGTCTGGGCCTATGTAGCAAGCAGGGGGTCCTGTCCCTCCGCCAGAGTGGGCTCTGCCCTGGCCCCATGTTGAAGGGAGGCTTGCTTTG